GTTGCCTGCTTAGACTCTTGGCACTCTTAGGTGAGCAGACTTAGTCAGCCTGTGTTGCCCTAACATTGTGTCACTGGAAATAACTGGCTCATTGCTGACACCCTTTGACACAATAAATGATTGAATTAGTGAGAATACAGAAGGGTGATGAGAAAGATGGACCCACCCTTGTTAGTCAAGATAATGGTGGTATATCCCTACAGGGGTGTCTGCTCCAAATCGCAAGTCATATGACTCATCCTTAAGCTTTGCCTTGATCCTGGATGGGTGTGAGGAGAGAGAGAAGAGCATATCAAAGAGATGCAGCACTGAATGTTCTTGTTATAATTCAAGTACAAGTTTGGGTTCAAATATTGCATCACATTCTCATTGTGACCTATTGCTGATGCTTCCCTCAGTGGCTGTGTGAGGTTTGCACTCAGTCTCACCTTTTTGCATCCCTCTCAGAAGCAAACAATGCTTATGCCAAGGCGTGCTGAGGCAGAAGCATCATAACGCTTCCGTTTTGCTTCCTGGGACAGCCACAGTACAGCCACAGGCGCGAGTAGGGCCCTGAATTTTCATCCCGCCCCTTCTTTCACATAACATTCAATCTGAAACATTAGGTATATAACTATTACATTGCATGTTGTGTAGCTACTTTAAATTTGAGCTCACCCCAGCTTGAAATAAATCAAATGAACAAGAATGAGACGCGCATTTGAGCACAGCCACCGACCCTTGCGCGCGTTGGCGCACAACTTCAACGCGCGCAAGGGTCGGTGGCTGAGCCCAAATGCGTCGCTCTGATTGGCCCAAAACCCCCGTGCTTCCGGAAGCAAGAAGACCCTAGCCGAGAGGGATGCGAAAAGTACACAAGTGTCCGCGCTAAGCGACTTGTTGGTCTTGCATCGTGTTTTGTTTCAGTTCCACCACCTCCCTCTAGATCTCCTCTCTCTAAGATCCGGATTCATGATGAGTCGCTTTCCACACCGGAACGGTACCCATGTGGTCCTTCTCGTGCACCGCCGTACTCGAGCCGATTTAATAGACCTTACACAGCATCCTTATGTCACGGGCAGATTGCCGATTCGACCGATTGCCATTACTGATCCGTGATCATTGGGCGCTGGGCAACAATGGACTGACTGCCTTATGGAGAAGGCGCAGGGCTAGGACATGCATCTCTTGACTCACCATACTTGCAGAAGGATTAGAGTGTGTTCAGGAAGAAGTATACGGCGACTAACTGAGTACTCTGTCTTCACTGCTTGTATACGGCGACTAACACTGAGTACTCTGTGTTCAGTGCTTATATCATGGTCTCTGACGGCCCGTGAAACATTGCTGAAACCTCCCGCCATGAACGGAATGATTACTTTCAATTGTGTCGAGCGCCGGAACTCATTCGTGTTGTCTTGCTTTGACGTGTCATGTTTTATTCATCCTGATGCAGCCGTTCAAGCTAAACTACGGATAAAAATGCGATCGACAGCAGCACAATCCCTCCAGCGCCGGTCGCACAACACCCTCACCACAATCACACCTACCTTATCGTCCTACCTTAGACGCTCTACTTCATCCCTACTTTCAACACTCTACTTCATCCCTACTTTCAACACTCTACTTCATCCCTACTTTCAACACTCTACTTCATCCCTACTTTCAACACTCTACTTCATCCCTACTTTCAACACTCTACTTCATTACAATGCAAAGTGAGTTACTTCTATGTCTTCCCTTGTGGCCTGGCTGACATTGTGCTAGTTCTCAAGTTCCTTCTCGCGGTGCTCTCTTTCTCCGTCCTTGCGACATCGCTTCCCGTACATACCAGTGGATCCGGAAGCCTCGCCCTGCGCAATGCTGACCTCGAGGAGCGCTCAACTGCAAGTGGACTGGATGGCTCCAAAGACGTTCTAGCTCGCTCCTTTGATGACGTCGACTCCGACCTAGAAGCTCGAGAAGATGAGGACCTGTGCTCGATGTGTATGGATCCGAAGGCGGAATACTCCAACTGTCCCAATGGACAGCATCACCCTGCTCATGCCAAATGCTTGGCACACTTGATCCAGCATCAGTTCAACGAAGGACAGGAACTCACATGCCCTACATGCAGAACGAGTACCACTACCCTGTTGCAAAACGTAAAGAACGAACCCAACCAAGCCACGTCGTCGGCCAAGAAGGAACCCGCGCCGAAGGAAGCCACGTTGTCGGCCAAGAAGATAATGCTGAAACCCGCGCCGAGGAAAGCGGTGTCGAATAGACCCGGGCCGTCGAAATCCGCGCGGGGGAGAGCACGGAAGAGAGCCGCACGTAAGACAGCCCAGGCCAAACGTAAAGACGTCGAGTCGGAATAGGAGTTCGAGATGCGCGACTTTTCGAACTGATTCAGAACAAGAACCGTCCTCCCTCCCCCCACCCGTCGCATCCGCACCCCCCTGGAAGAAGCTGAGGAAGAAGTGGCTGACAGGGGAAGTGGTGAGCAGCAGTCTGGACTCTATCACCTTCTAAACCATGTACATACAAAGATTGTAGCATAAATCGATGATTTTCTTGCCTGTTTATGGGGATCACGTTATCATCACTCTTAGGCTTGAGCAGGACAGTTTTCAAGAGCAAAGGCCAAATAACGAGTTGGATCCCGTAGAGAACAGCAAAGGTGCACGCGAGAGTCACTGATGCACAGCATGTGGCAAGGCGCACAACATTCTACTCCTGTACTGGAGGATGTGGACTCCCGAGCGTCTTTCACCGGAATACATACCCACCCCTCCTCAAGTCTACATCCTCGCTCTCACCTCCTCCTTCTCCTCGCCCAAGCCCAACCGTTGTACAACCCCTAGAAACCAACCGAGCGCCTCCCCCCTGCTCTCTTCCCCCACGGCCCGGATAACGGCGAACAGGGTTTTGAGAACCTGTCGGTCTGAGGGGGAGCGTTCTTGTTTTTGTTCTTGCTCTTGCTGCTCTTGCTCGGCGTGCGTAGGGTGCGTCGGGTGTCGAAGCGGTCGGAGGACGTACACTTCCACTCCCTCCAGAGTGTGCGGGAGCAGGGAGGGGGGTACGACAGGTACGAGTGCGACGAGTGTCTCCCTCAGCGCCGAGACCTTCTCGTTCTCGTACTCGTAGTCCAACTCCCGTTTGGGGAGGAAGGTCAGGTCCCGGAGGGCAGAAAGCAGCTGTTGAACGCAGAACCACGCTAGGGCTTTCCCTTCGGGGGTTGTGGTTGGTCCTTCATTCGAGAGCGAGGAGACCGAAGGAGAGGGGAGGGAAGGAGGGAGGGAGGCGCATGTCTGAACAAGGGAGGTATATGCCAGTCTGAACTGCACAGGAGACAAGTGGGTTTCAGCCAGATGCTGCACTCTTATCAACCTTGACCTCAATAGAAAAGGTGAAAACGCACTTTGAGCAAACAGCTGATATAGTAGGGCACTGTCTCTTGCACATTTAGGGTGCTTTCCATTTGGGCTTGTCCTTTTTTGGGCATGGCGAGTATTACTAGGAAAAGGGAATGGGAAGCCTCGAACGCCCCTTTTTCCGCGGGGTTGTCCAGTGCTCTGCACACGTTCAGCAGACGCAGGAGCACAGAAATGCGGGCTTACGGGATACACAGCGGTAATAGATTTGTGTATACGAGGGACGGGGATAGGATTGGGAGAAGGGTCTCCGCTAGGGTGAACAGGTATGCTTCTTGGCTCGCGTTTGAGGGCGTCGGTGCTAGTTTGCGTTAGTATACGAGGCTGCGAGAGTTCGAGGGGGCGTACCTTGCTTTAGTTGAGCGATGAGCGCTCGCAGACAGCTTTCTGCCTCCGGGGGAGAGGTGCTGAGTACGTCCGCACAACCATAAAACACTCTCAGGAGCTGGGGGAACCCTCCTGCCACACCGGCATATTCCTCCCATATGACACGTGCGAAATGGGAAAGATGTTGCAGTATTTGGCTGGTGAGGGCTGGGCTGTTGGCGTGCGGGTGGGTGAGGAGGGATGTGAGGAGGGAGAGGGAGAGGGAAGTGCTGGTTAGCAGGAGAAGGGGGGAGGAGGGGAGGGAGGAGATGTAGGATAGCAGAAGGAGGAGGGGGGCTGCGTGGGAGGGGGAGAGGGGGATGGTGGCTAGTAGGCGGGTGAATAGGGGGAGAGCGGAGGGGTCGTTGAGCGAGTGGGAGATGGCGAGCAGGAGGTGGGAAGGCAGCTGGAGGTTGTCAGTCGTTCGCTCTGGATTGTTAGCTTGTGAAATGCTTACGGATGGGAGAAGAGAGAGGTTGTGTGCCTGAAGTTGGAGGAGCGCGGCTGACATGGAGACGATTGTCGGAGTGAGCAAGTCTGACATCGTCAGTCTTCGCAGAGGAGGATAAATGGGAGAACGCACGGGTATCCTCAGCCTCGAACTGAATGTGGGAGACAGCAGCCTCGTTCTGCGCCAAGAAAGCACTACATTCTCTCAAGAACAACGCTTGGACTGCACTTGCGTCTCTCCCGCTTCCCTCTCTCGCGTGTGCCCGTAGTTGGAGATAGAGGAATGCGAGTACTTCTACGCGAGTGCGTGTCTGTGGTAGAGAGCAGACTGTTGCTGTTATTGATGGCAAACGCTGATTTCTGGGCAGAGCGAGGAGGGGAGCATACTGGATTCGTATATCGTTTGCCATTCACAACGTTGAACGGGGTCGGTGTTAGTTCCACACGGCGGTGATTAGATATATGTGACGGAAGCGGAGTAATTTGTTGCCGTGTGAAAACGCGTTGATCAGCGTACACAATTCGATGAGAGCAAAGCGGCCATGTCGGCTGCCTGATCAAGCGGTCGCAGGATCCTGCATGGGTGTGAGGGGAGAGAGGAGAGGGTGAGAGGGTGTCAAAGAGATGCAACACTGAACGTTCGTGCTATTCGAGTGTACAAGTTTGTGTGTGACCTATCGCCGAGGCTTGCCTCAGTGGCTGTGTGTGAGGTTGGCGCATGAAAAACCTCGGCGAGTTGTCGGTCCTGTATCGGGTGATATTGTTTCAGTTCCACCATCTCCATGATGAGTCATTTTCCACACCGGAACAGTACCCATGTGCTCTTTCTAGTGCACTGCCGTAATCAAGCCAGCATTTTTATGTCACGGGCAGATTGCCAATTCGACCGATTGCCATTAATATTACTGATCCGTGGTCATTGGGCGCCGGGTAATTGCAACAATGGACTGACTGCCTTATCGGGAAGACGCAGCGCTACGACATGTATATCTCGACTCACCATGCTTGCAGAACGCGGATTAGAGTGTGTTCAGGAAGAAGTATACGGCGACTAACTGAGTACTCTGTGTCCACTGCTAATATCATCCAGGTCTCTGACTGCCGGTGAAACATTGTTGAAACCTCCCGCGGACGGAACGGTTACTTTCAATTCTGTTGACCGCCGGAATTCCTCCGTGTTGTCTTGTTTTGCCGGTGTCATGTTTTTATCCTGATGCAGCCGTTCATGATAAACCACGGGAGATTGGACTATGAGAATGCCCCATCGAAAGCAGCCCAATCCCTCCAGCGCCGGTCGCACAACACCCTCACCACAATCACACCTGCCTTACCGTCCTACCTTAAACGCTCTACTTCATCCCTACTTTTACCACTCCACTTCATTACAATGCCAAGTATGTTCCTTCTACGTCTTCCCTTGTGGCCTGGCTAACATTGTGCTAGCTCTCAAATTCCTTCTCGCAGTGCTCTCTTTCTCCGTCCTTGCGACATCGCTTCCCGTACATACCAATGGATCCCGAAGGCTCGCCCTGCGCAATGCTGACCTCGAGGAGCGCTCAACTGCATTCGGACTCAAGTATCCAAAGACGTCCTGGCTCGCTCCTTTGACGACGTTGACCCCGACCTTGAAGCTCGGCAATATGAGGACAAGTGCTGGTGGTGTGACGATCCGGGTGCGCACTACTCCAACTGTCCCAATGGGCAGGATCACCCTGCTCACTTCGCATGCTTGAAGAAATGGATCGACACTCAGCACACTGAAGGACAGTCATTCACATGCCCTGCATGCAAATCGCCTACCACCACCCTGATCACGACCGTAAAGAAGAAGGACTCTATGTCGTCAGCCAGGAAGACAATGCCTAAGAAAGCCAAGGGCAAGCGTGACCTTGAAGACGTCGAGTCGAAATCTGAGTTCGAAATGCGCGACTTTGCCAACTGATTCAGGACAAACTTTCCCCCCTCCCCCCACTCGCCGCCCCCGCACCTCTCTGGAAGAAGCTGAGGAAGAAGTGCCTGACAAGGGGAGAACGATGGGCAGCAGTCTAGGTTTTGTCACCTTCTAGAACATGTACATGCAGAGGTTGTAGCATATCGGATAAATCGATGATCTTGCGATGGATTTCTTGCCCAATTTGCTTTCGGTGTTAGTTATACACTGCGGTGATTAGATGTGACGGAAGCGGAGTAATTTGCTGCCGTGTAATGTGAATACGCGTTGTGCGGCGCGTACACAAGAGTTGCCACGAGGGCGTCACTCAACCGTTGCTCATCTTTTACTAGACAAGAAAAAGGATGAGCATCGATACACCCACAGCACTAGCAAAAGAAAACTTTGCACCTCAAAGGGTAGAATTCCTCCCAATTCCTCAATTTCACTCTCCTCGCGCTCTATCCCGTGTACGCTCATCTCCTTCTACTCAACAGCCAAAGGGAATCCTCAAGCCTTCACGTTCCACTCTACCTGATCTACCGAGTAGCAGTCCTGTGTCGATGGATCAAGTGGTTGTAGGGGATGTTGACTATCTCCTATCACCTCTTCAGTGTATATTACGCTCCATCACACAAGACACACAAGACACACAAGACAGTGACAGTGACGCGCCCACTCCTGCAGATCTCACCGAAGCATACACTCTCCTCCTATCAAGGCTCAAGCACGCACGCGATCTCTTACCCAGCGCACTCGAGCCATTGAGAACACACAGCACAGCACTTCTCATCGCTCTCCAAAGGGACATCGCCGTCGTCCTCCAAAGCCCATACGATCCAAGCAGCACAAGAGGCAGTGACGACCCATCCTCAGAACCCTCTTCTACTCCAGCCAAGAAACGCGGTGTGAGCGAATCAGAGATCCTTCATGCCCGTGCTCTCCTCCATCTATCACACGCAGCCCTCAAGCTCAGCGCAGTCCTCTTCCTCCAACCAGGCGTACACGCACTCTTCACAACCCAAGAACAGCAAGATCTCGTCCGCAGCGTCCTCTCACTCCCAGAAGCAGGCGCCCTCCCTACCCCAAACGGGCGGAAAACGAACCAAGTCGCTCTATGGGCATTGGGCAACTTACGCCTCCCGGACTCGGCGGTGTTCCCGCATCGAGAAGCTCTGGCGCGTGTGCTTGAATGTGGACTGCGCGGTGAGCTTGGGGCGCGAGCGACTTCTGTAGGCGGGTCGGGCGAAGCGGTCCGTACGCAGGCATACGACGTACGTCCCCTTCCCTTCCCTTCCCTCCCCTCCCCTCCATACCCAACTAACCCCCCTACCCCGCATACAGACACTCACCACCCTACTAACGCACTATCCCTCCCTCCTGCCCTCCTTCACTCCCCTACTCGACCTCCTCCTCCCAGCACTCCTCCTCCCCAAGCGTGAAAAACCCGCCCAAGCCCTGCTCGCCTTCTCCCTCAGTCTAAAAAAGTATCGTGCCCACTGCACGTCCCTCCACGCATCCGACCTCAAGCACCGGGAAACTGTCGAGTCCCATCTCCTAACCTGGCTCAGGAGCACCCGGCACTCCCCTTCCCCCTCAGGCACCACTTCACAGAAGACCGTCGACCTGCTCGAACACAGCCTGCGCGCCTCCCTCCTCTCATCAGAACAAACACTCGTCCTACCCCTAATAGCCGCGCTCATCCACCTCTCCGGTCCTCAGGTCCTAGCTTCCTCAGCTCTCAAAGCGCTCATGACCGTCCTCCAGGCTGCGCTGAAAGTCAAGCCGCTCGCGCCGCAGTGGGCAAGATGCTGGGCTGTCTTGATCTGGGGTGTGGGGGAAGGGGAAGTGCGGGGCTTATGGGCACCTTCTTCTCCTGCTATATCTTTCTCTACTTCTACCCCCGTAGCGCCAGCACAAGCAGGAGCCAAGCTTCCCCCAAGGGAAAAGATAGAGAAGATGGTCCTGCAAGCCCTGCCCGCGCTATTAAAAGCCAGTGCAAGAGCCGAGGCAGCAGAAGTCTGGCAGGCGCTCGTTTGGGCCGGCGTGGGCGTGGGCGGGGTTGGGGGTGGGAAGGGGAGATGGAGGGACGTGGCGGGGTTGGTGCAGAAGGGTGGGGTTGGAGTGCTGGAGGGGGTTTTGGGCCCGGCCTGGGGGGAAGAGGAGGAAGGGGAGGAGGGGGAGGAGCTGCAAGGGGACCCAGATGGGGAGGAAGAACCTGCTCAACCAAACGACAAGCCCCACCACCCCTCAAAGCCCTCCCACCCTCTCGAGTCCCTCCTCTCAGAAGAGCTGCTCACCCCTCCCTCTCCCACCAAGTCCCCCCCGTACACGCCCTTCCAACCCCCTCCCTGGTGGCCCGGTCTCCAAGTAGCCGACGTCTACCCGCTCGCAGACCTCTGGTTCTCCGGCCTCTCCGCGCCAATCCCCCCCGAAGAGCGGGACGTCTCCGCCCGCCGGGTCCTCCCCCTCCTAGCGCACAAACCCGGTGGAAGGCAGCTCATGTTCGTCCGGATACTTAACTCCTCCCTGCAAGAGCTCGCCGCGAAAACGGAAGAAGAATGGCGTGCTCGTGCAACTGACTTCCTGGGTTTCATACTCCCCCAAAGAATGGGGAAATGTTTCCTCCCCAACCCGGGGCGAGAACTTGTCAGCCTCCTCCTACAACAAGTGATCCCCGATCTCCCCATATGGAAACTTCCCGTCCTCGTGTATCTCCTCACTTCCCCAGCGCTGGGGTGGAAGACCGACACGCTAGAACTGATAGTGCATTCTGTCGCTGGCCGGATCCCGGATGCCCGTGGTCGACCGGGGAGTGGGGAGTGGAAGGCGTGCATACCACCGGTTTTGCAGCTTTGGATACCGAGACTTGAACGGGGCATTAACGTACAAGACGCTTCTGTAATTCGGATACTCCTTTCCTGGATCAGGGAGTCTAACGACCAAAACCAAGACCAAAATCAAAACCAAGACCAAGATCAAAACCAAAATCAAAACCAAAACCAAAACCAAGAGCAGTGGCGCCGGATCCTGCGTGCCGTCGGTCCCCTCGCTCTGCCTAACGGGCTCGCTCTCCAAGACATGCCCTTTGTCCTCCAGTGCGAGAGGGGGGATACGCTCAAAGGTCCTTTGCTGGACATGCTCGCTGTTGTCATGCGGGACGTGTATGATAGTGATGACGAGAAGAAGTTCGATGCTGGTATGGAGGTGCTTTCTTCCCTTTTGGGAGCTGTGCAGCGTTTAGCTGCTAGTGGGGAGAAGGCGGACATGGACATGGAGACGGATACGGACACGGACACGGACACGGTGTATGTTGTGTGTCGGGTGTATGCGGCAGTCGGAAGCTGGATATGCGACAAAGACACTCTCTTCGAGGACGAGCAGTACAACACTCTCTCCGCAGCGCTATACACTGCATGTCTGGACCTGCTCACCCCCTTCCCGCAGGGAAAGGTTGACCAGTCAACGCTAGACCAGCTGGCCCCATTCCTCGCATCCGCTTTTTACCGCATGCCAGACCCGGGCATCGCACCACAACGTTTTGCGTCCTTCTGGCGCGCTACGTTCCATGGACACGAGTTCCGCTGGCCGGAGGAACTGAAGCCCGCTCTTAGGTGGTTTGCGGAACACGACACTGCATTCGCCCCTGGCCTCGAACTAGACCTCACTCAGACGCAGGATACGGCCGCTTCGAGTATCCCTATGTCTGTCCTGTCGGACTCGGAGCCGGAGCGCGCACAACAGCGTTTACGGCTGACGATGGATAATAGTGGGAGTGAGCTCATGAGCGGGATCCTTAGTATGGGGGAACAGAGGGGGAAGAAAGTCGGATTTGGCTCTAGTAGCTATATCGACCCTGCTACTTTAGGCTCGGGGCCGAAGACGGGTCTGTCCCCTGCTTCCAGGGAACGCGGATCGCTCGTATCGACCAAGCCTGTTGTGCGCTTCGAGCTCAGCGCGCTTGCCGCCGCTGAGGGGGACGAACCCCCTCTGCGAGAAACGCAAGAAGCGTCGTCCGATAGTGCGGAAGAGATACCTCAGCCTCAGGGTACGAGCGAGGTCGTCTCCACTGCTACTGTTATGCGGGCATTTGATGCGCCTCTTATCCCTCCGGCTATGATGGACAGAACGGAACGTGTCCCTCCGCCTACTCCGTCCATGCTGGTCTTGACGCCGTCTGTACTTGACCCTGCTCCTACCCCATCCTCCGAACCTGCCTCAGTCGACACGCTCACGCGCACTGACACTTCGCTCGAGATCTCCCATGTGTCTGAGACTCAATTACCCGATCGGAGGATCGAAACGGACGATTCCGTGACCGATATTCAGGGAGCGCAAGTTACGAGATTGTTATCGACACCTCGCTCCAACAACAAACCTGCCCCTTCTCCAGCGTCTCCTTCGGAGGAGGAAGACGACGAAGATGAAGCAGTCATCGAGTTCAGCTTGTCTCAAGAACTGGAGGACCCGATGAAAGTCCCAGAACTCGACGATGAGAAAGAGCTTGATGACGTGTTCCTTGTCCCTCCGTTGAGTCTTGGAAAACGGAAGAGGACTCTGTCCGAACACACGATGGATGCTCGTAAGAAGCGCAAGACACCGTCATCTGTCAGCAGACTTGCCACGAAAGGGGACACGAGTCTGTCGGATGTGCGGTCGTCTACGTCATCTCTTTCCAAGACCTCACCAGAAGTTTCCATTCAAGATGTTGAAGATACTTTCATTCGTGATGCTGGAAACGTCATTTCGGCTTCTCAACCTACCATCTCATCCTCCCCCGAAGTGATTGTTGCTCGTTCCTTGTCTCAGCCACCCGCTCGCCCTGCTGGTGAAACGAGAAAACGCAAACGGGTTTTCTTGGAGAGTGTCGAGATTCCGATCATATCAAAGCGTCGACGTCTCACATCTTCCGAGTCCACTTCCAAGGATTCGGGCAGGCGTCGGCGGCGGGATGATGAGTCCTTCCAAGCATCTGGCACTCCCTCAACGCCGTCACATATGACGCAAAGCCAAAGGAGTGAAGCCAGTTCTCCAGCCTCTCCTTCTCTTGCAGCAGGTGGCTCCCAGTTTTGGCGTGGCGTGCGTTACGCATTCTCTCGGGTGGCAGGTCAGAAAACCGAGGATCTATCGCAACAATTTGTTGGCTCAAGTCGTAAGTGTGCAATGCTTATGCAACGTGATGCTCAAACTAATGTATCGCTTAGAACAAGACGAGGATCAAATCGTTCACCCTCCCCGGGGCTCCTCTGTCGCAGAGGAGCGCGTGAAGACCTTGCGTGAGCTGTTGAAGGGATTAAAGGAGGACGTAAAACATGTTGACATGAAGCTTATCGACGAAGTACAGATCTCCTTGATTGATGCGTTGGGCTACGTGTCCAAGCGAAGAAAGGCTGATAGAGCCAAATAACGTCTTAGCATATGATTTTGATCATTGATTACCTGCTTAGCATCTGATTCTGTTCATTGATTACAATAGTTCGTGGTGCTTGTCCACTTCTGTTACCCTACACAAACTTGTAGATACTTGCCTTGCTTTCTGATACCGTCAGTAATACACGAAGCGCTCAGATGATTTGCTGGGACAAACTTGCATAAGGATCAGTACTGGAACTAGAACCATTCAAATTCAGTGAAAAGGAAGCGCACGTTTCCATCCGGTGATATGTTGCGCCAGTTGGTGAGAGTTCCAGTCAGTCCCCAGCCCACCTGTCAAACATGTTTATTCACGTAAGTGTCCTCATCTGTGTTGGACATGTACGGTGTCTGAGACAGAAAACAAATCACGGCAGTTTCGTGCACTTCGGTTTACCCCAACTGGCCTTCTTGGTAGGAGTCAACACTCTTACCTATGAACGCTCGTTAACCACAAGTGCATTCTGGGTTTACGAAAGTGTGGGGCGTCTTTTTGGTGGCGCGGTGCGTCTGTTCAGTCGTCAACAGCGGTCTTTCCCGCCATCTTCGACAAAAAAAAAAGGTAGCCAATGAGACTTTTCGATGGAGCTCACCGAGGTCCATAAAAAGAGGATTTTTTCATGTAATTCAGGGTAAGCGCTAGCTTGTGAACCATCACTTCAGTCCCCTCGCAACAGAACAGCATGCGTGGTTTCTTCCTCGTTTCACTGCTCAGCTTTGTGGCTTTGATCAATGGCATAGCCGTGGATAGCGCAGACTCCTTGGCTGAGCGAGCTGCCAGTATTGCCCGTATGTCGGCCAACCCTTCAGATAGAACGTGTTAACCAGGTTTTCGCGTAAGTGACACGTAATGGCCGACGTGCTCAGGCGCCGAACAACACTGTGTATACATGTGTCGGCTCCGGCGTATACAAAGCTGTGGCCAACTGCTGTACCCCAATCTCGGGTTGTGTGCCGGCACCAACCCCGTTTGTCTGGTTCGTAACCTCTTCCAGATGCGTTTTCTATCACTGAAGCAGAGCCGCAAGCCCCGACTTCCAGAACACAGTCTGCTTCTCCTCTTGGGGCTCGCAATTCGCTCTGACTGCAAGCGCATACTCATGCCCTGTGGCTGGTTATTCAACCCCGGCGTGCTGCGAGGCCACAGACACGAATTCTTGTGTTTCACCTGCGGAGCCGACGTTCAAGTGGTGAGCACACAGCAACATACACCAGACTCTTCATACTGAAGATAACTTTTTAGCGGAAACATCGCATCCGGCCACACCCAATATCGCTACCCGAATTGCTGCTCGGACAAGACGTTCAAGACTTGCTATCCACGCGGCGCCATGATCGCACCGGTGCACGAGTAAGAAAAGCTCCAAGAGGATGTCAAGTAATTTGGGAGTATCCAGTTGGTTATCGTGTATTCGACGGCAGATCCAGAACAAACAGAACAAATCAATGACGAGAAGGTGGTATAAATGGCCGTGGCAAAGTTCTTCCTCCAAATGCGGTTCAGCATCGCAGTTCTCAAGCCATTAATGTAGCCAATATGTTGCTTTCTTTAATGTACCAATTTATCAGAGCGCGAACAGTACGGTGCTTCCGGATGAGAAGGTGGGAGAGCAAGCCATACAGAGATAAGATGCTTAGCCCGCTCCGATACTAGTGATCATAAAGTACGCTGCTCACATCCCGCAAGAAAAGAGAAAGTCGCATTTTGCTTCCGGGCTCGACTTCTCTTCGTCACCATGACCTTTCCTCGGCCACCATTATTACGCACCTTTCTCCGACCAGCAACACCGCGGGCACGGAGTTTTCATACCAACACACCCCTCCCAATACCGCCTCGACGACCAGAAAGCGGCATCAGCACCCATGAGGAGTTTTTGGGAGCGATAGGCCGGGGAGCAGCGGGGAAGGTCAAGGTTGAGAGCTGGGAGGGACTTTTCGGCCTTACGGGCCAGGGGATGAAACAAGCTGGTGTGGGCGTGCATGATCGAAGGTGCGGATAAGCGGAAGTGGGGGTGAACTACCACGATTGATCCATTCGGCCAGATACATCCTCTGGGCGCTCGAGAAGTATAGGCAAGGAGGGAACCCGAAGGAGTTTGCGATTCCTCCAAAGCCGAAGAAGACAATAAGAGGGTGCGTTGGGCCTTTGACCATATCACACCCGTATTCATGTGGACTAGATGGGGACCGAGTGTGCAGAACGGAAAGCGGATACGATAGCTGATGGACAAAGTTGGGAAGGTCTGACTGGGACGGTTTGCCGTGAACGTTTCAGCCGGTGAAACAAATGGCACTCTGAGCTGACGAGCGAGCTCCCGAGAGGCTTTCACTCATTATGTGACGTGGGGAATGATGAAGTTGCGATTCGGGGTATCATCGTGATAGAATACGTATACAATATCCTTCCATGTCCATCAAAACACTGGTGCATCCTTGAGAAATAACCTCCCCTCCTCTTTCTTGACCCAGTTGACAACCATATGGGCCGCACTCACGCATGCTGGTTCTGGCAAATGTGGAGAAAGTGCGATGTACACCTCTAGGGGCTTCGTGGTCTGCCACCAATAATCAGGATCGTGCTGAGTGATAGGATGAGTACCCACCCAGCCCATGACCGTCTCCCGTGGTGTACGTATGTGATGCAGAGAGAGTGCTTCTTTCTGTCCTGAGCGTGCGTGTAAGGTATCATGTACTTGCTGATAGAGCGTGACAAGTCTAAGTCCCGAGATTAACAATCACCCTAGACACCGCAGCTGACTGCTTACCTTCGCTGCTCTAACTCTGTATCGTAGGACGCGTCAAACTCTGGCTGGGTGTACTGAACATGGATGCGTGACTTGTACACAAAATGGCGCAAGCCATGGATCCCAAGCTCAACTACGTAGAGTCAATAACCCATCGCTTTCGGCGACGAAGCAACGTACCAACGGCGTACGGATGCGCCAGGACCGCTTTCTCGATAAACCCGAGTAAAGATTCCTCTTCCAGCTTCTAACCTGTCGCATGAGCAACAACCTTCTTTGGCAGTTGCGGGACTCGCCTTCTCAACAACGCCCCTCCACTCCCTCATCGCATCCCAAGCATCCCGATCTGGAGAGAGGCCGACAATGCCAATTCCCTCCCGTAATGCCCCAACATACGTATACAAGAACCTATCCGCGTTGTACTTTGGCAGACAGATGGGTAGCCAGCTCTCCGAATCCGAGGTAAGCAAAGAGGGGGAAGCGATGGTGTTGAGCAAAATTCGGAGGTCGGAGGGGTTTATGCTGTGTTTTCGCGGTCGGACCAGGGTGATCACTCGCCCGCCTGCGATAACGAGCGCATACACGAGGGAGAGCTTGGACGGAGGAAGAAGGGCATCCCCTATACGTCTTCTTCTGTGCATGTCTATTCTCAGGCATTGCATGGCTGCCAGAGTGGTTTCTAGAGATGTCTGTGCCGTGTTCAAGAGCGAGCGCATGAGTGGCTCGGCACCTGTGAGTAATCGGCCTAGGTCGAAATTTCCCCGTCGTTCGAAGAGCTTTGTTAATTGAGGAAGGGTGAGGACGCTCAGGATCTGCAGATGGAGATATTCCAGGTGTGTCCTTGTCTGTGTCCAAGTTAGTTAGAGGAGATCGCTCATTCGCCGGAAGGACGCACGACAGGAGCTGGCTCGCCCCAAGACGACACAGAGACGTAGTATAACGGTGTTCGGAGGAGGAATGTTATACGCGTCGATCCGGTGGTGATGTATCGCAGTTTGTCGCCATCTTCTGCGAATACGGATATTAAGGCTTGCATGATACCCATCGCGTTTGTCGCTTCCTCTTCAGAATCTCCTTTCTCACTGGCATCCAGTCAGCTTCCATCTGCAGTGGGCTGTTCACTCGTGTACCTTATAAATACCGGTTTTCCAGCATTCGTGAGCACGAAGTACTTGCGATCCTCGTACCGCGCTGCTTCTTCAGGACTGAGAGGAGGATACTCAGATACGGCAGACAACACCTCGTCAGCGAGGACCGATCTTTTTGCAGGAGGGGAGGAAGGCGCTGATCCAGTGCTTTTGCGAGAGATCGTCCTTTTCAGCTGTTCTCGTAGTGCGTGAGAAGCCGATTCAGATCCGGGGAGCACTGTCTCGGCGGTGAGAGACGAAGGGGGGGAGGCAGAGATTAACGACTCTTCTGGAGAAGGTTCATTTGCCAGCAGTCCATCTGGTTCCTGTTCCACATCTTCGTCCCCCCCTATAGAACTAGGAGTCTGTTTTGGAGAAGAAAATGCTGGAGACTCGACAAAACTGGATGGTCGGAGCTCGACGGTGCCTGCCAGGACAGGGGAAGCAGGGCGGGAGGGTGTGATGTTAAGTAGGCTTAGCGAGTGGGCGGGTAGGAGGCGCGAATGAGGTCGGTCTTTTGGTGTTGGGGGTCGGAAATCGGGAGACATGTTGACAGGGGTGTTCCAGGTATTCCAGTTTCCGCAGGTTCAGAAAAACTGGGCAAAGACCCGAGCGAAATTATCTTGCACCAAGGATCGAGATTAGGCAGCAAGCCAGCAGACGTTCAGAAGTCCAACGAGAGCAGACAACTCATGACAACAGAGAGATATTTAAAAAGTCCAACCTGCCAGTAGAAAGCCAGGAAATCGACAGTCTCGCGGAAGATATGAAGAGAAGAGATAACCTTGGTGGTGGCAGTCAAACACGTCGCTCAGTGTTCACGTTCATGGAATGACGATCGTCCCTGGCATCTCGATACTTCCGGCTTCTGCATCGCCACCATCACGGGTCGGCGTTAGTGATCGGCGATCAGGCTCCTGATGATTCCCCCAACAGACAAATTATAACCAGTTAGCAAAGAAATACAACACAAATGTATTCTACCTCTCACAGCCCTCATGCCGCCTCAAAGAAATCCACGACCTTCCTGACAGTCTCTCGAACTTCCAAGCTGCCCTCCACCTCTCCTGCCACTCCAAATTCGCCCAACGCAGGCAACCCAGAGCTCCTCCTTCCCCCAAGCTTGGGCTTGCCATCCATTTCCCTCACTCTACGTTCTATACCCGCTTCCCGTAGTTCCTGTTTGCCAACTGAGAGCTGAAGAAATGCGTGTACCGCGCGAATCGCTGCTACTCTTAGGGTCTGGCTGGGGCTTGAGAGGGAAAGGAGGAGGGCGGAGAGGAAGGCGGGGGACTGGTGGAGCATACAACGAGAGCGATACAGTTCGGGAAGAGTGTTGACCAATACGAACAGTGCCTGCTAGATGTCAGTGTCAGCCTCTTCTTCCAGGAAATAGACTCACGTTCATCTGCACATCATCGTTCCCAGTACCCATCGCTTCCTCCACAAGAGCGACAAGTTCTTCAGCCCCAATCGCTCGCACAGTTTGGACGACATCCGTTTCCCTTCCCGCGGCAAGGTTGCGTACCATGCTCAATGCCTGTTCCCGTACGCCTAGGTCAGGATCGCGGCAGAGCCTACGAGCGAGCAAGAACACAATTCAATGAGCGAAAGGAAAACCCATGGAGCACCCAAACTCACTCGATAAACCTGCTCCACCCCACCAAGCCCATCACCTGGCTCTTCAACGCCCAATCCGCCCTATACACAAGGTTCTTCAGTACCCAGATGCCGTTCAACCGCAGGAGGGCATCCGAAGGTTGGGTAGCGTATTGCACTAGAAGGGGGAGGGCGTGTTCTTCGGGTAGCAGCTGGGTGAGGTCAGATTATGCCGATAAGGGGGCAAGGGAAGGGGAGGGGAAGCGTACCTCTTGTACCGGGGAAAAGTCTGCCGAGAAGTTACACAGCGCTGCCAGAGCAGCGAGGAGCACCCTCCTATCCCCTTTGACGGCCTCTCCGGGCATATCCTCTTTTACCTTGCCCGTCCCTTTGTCTGTGTCTACCCCTTTCACAGTCATGGAGCTGTTCGCAGACGCAAGAGCATCATCATCCATCGTCTCATCCCCACCCTCGGCTTCCACATCGTCTGTCTGCTCCTGCCCTTCCTCCCGCTCCTCCTCCAAACCAAACCCCTCCAACCCCTCACCTTCCTCTACCCCCCCGCCTCGCATCACCAAGCCCAATACGCCCTTCACGACGCCCTCATCTACCAAACTGCTTCTGAGCACTTCCACGCTCCTGCTCAGGGCTCTGATCACCTGCAACGCTGCGTGCCTGACACCGGGCGAAGGGTGTGAGAGCGAGCTGTGTATGATTGGAAGGACCGGGGGCTGCAGGGCTGCGAGCGAGGTGCGGAGAGAGACGGAAGGAAGGGTGAGCGAGGCGAGGCAGGTCATACTGCTCTCGCGGAGGGAAAGGAGGGAGGGAGACTCTTCGTATAGCTCGTCGAGGGCTTCGGGGGTGGACCCGATGGAGGGGAAGGAGCGGAGCAGGGTGCAGAGGGTGAGGAGTAGCCCCGATTGGGAGGCATGTGAGGCGCGAGGAGGGGAGTCCATCACGAGCGTTGCTGCGGGAAGTTAGCACAGTGAAATAGCAAGAATAGAAACATGAGGCAGCAGGAGAAGATGCGATGTAGTAAAAACGTACACAAACACCAACAAGCACCGCTCCTGACCTCGGGATCCTCCCCGTCTTCTACCAGTCCTTGAAGCGTACTCAACACGGCAAGCTCAAGCATCCCCGGAGGGTCGAGCACCGCGTCTCCCTTCAGTCCCCTCGGAGTTGTGTGACATAACAACGAAGTAAGGATGTGGCAGGCTGCGAGCCTTACTTGAGGGGAACGTGAGCGGGAGAGGGTGTATGCGGTTTGCGCTGTTGGGGCGTGAGAGCGGCCGAAGAGGGTTATGAGCGGGGTATTGCGCGACAGAAGCGTGGAAAGAGCATTAAGAGCTGCGATTTGTGCCTGCTCTCTATGAGCTTCTCATCCTTGACCAAAAGAGAGGGCAGGATAACGTACCTTTTCGTCACCCATCTTGACCAACCCGCATAAACGCACAAGCACCCACCCGCCCTCTTCTTTCTTCTCCCACCCGCGTTTTCCCTTCGCGGCACTAGCGCGGTCGGAAGGAGGGAGCCAGTCGAGGATGCGTGGGACGTGGGCAGGGCGAAGGTGGGAGATGAGGTTCGCTACTGCTGTTGCTCCTGCTAGCCCTGGAGTGCCGGTGGATGAAGATGCGGATATGGTGGGTGAAGTGGGAGCGAGCAGGGGAAGAAACGCGTCTAGACCATCGAGGTCTAACACCTCCTCTAGAGCAAGGAACGCATCCTCTCTTCCCTCGTAACTCTCCCTTCCCAGCCCTGCACGGGCACCGTAAACCGCCTCGCAAGCCCGAGCCACCAGCTCTGTCAGTGCTCTCGCCAGCGCTGCATCCCCCGACCCTCTCAACGCTGATAGTAAGGGGGTAGAGACGCCTGCATTGATCAGTGATGGAAGGCAGTCTTGTTCCTTACATAGACTGGCAAGGATTGTGACTGCTTCTCTCTTGAGCAGTGGATGGGTAAGAAGAGGGAGAAGAGAGGGAAGAAAGGCGATATCATGCAGGATAGTAATCTTTGTACTGGGTGATCCTATAATGCTGTTTCTGATATGCTTGAGAGTTGGGAGGTCGAGCGAGGTAGGCGGTGACATGGACGTTCGCTAGGGAGACGCAATCATCATATCGGGGGAATCGTCGGACATAAGGCTTTGGTGTCAGGGGTTCACAGAGTCAGGGGGGTCTAAGTCACGGAAAATATACAATTCTGAGATCCGATGAAGATCACAGCCTGGATATTTTCGAACTTCCATATCGATCAAGCACTGTGATGGAAAGCCGACTGTCACTTTTCATTTCATTTTCCATCATAAGATTGTGGTTGGGGGTCACGTGGGTCAATATTTTCAATGCACCGCCACTTACTCAATAGGTCGGCGCGTTGTTTATGTCGTCGTGTCCCATGCTCTGTCCTGCCTCCTGCTTCAAAGTTCTGGTTGAGTCCCCGACAGCTTGGCTTGGCTTTACGTCCAACGGTTCTGATAATCCCTCGAACAGGAACATCGGCCCCTTCTCTCGTGCGCTGTCGTAACTGGAGTGCCCCGTCCTCCTATTTGGCTGCATCAATATCGGCCCATGCAGAAGCTAGTTGCCCAGGGTCCAAAGGAGATGCTTCAGTTGCTTGCTTTGACAGTTAGGGCCTCTGCCGCTCAGTGATACAGATGCTGATCCCTTACTGTTACCTGCCAGGGTCTGAAGGGATGAGATACTGCTTCGACCATGCTTCCTTGCTTGACAGCTGCCTGTGTATACGATCCGTGTTTACCTGCGAGGTGCAACCATCCGCCGTTCACAGTCTTTTTATGTGTTGTTACGACCAGCTTGCATAACGTGAGCGATCGGTCAACAATCTGGTACGTATAAAGTGGCTTACAAATGCAAGGGATGCCGGCGAGACCATCCCCCTGAAATGAGAGCTTTCGTCCTAGCACTTTGGTCGACCCTAGCCGCCGGGTTAGCACGCCAGGGCTCGAATGCACAGCGACTAGCTAGGGGTCTACCTCCTCTCGTCCCCAAGCGCTTATACGAATCCACCATTGCTGATGGTATGTCCCCATCAACATCTTTGCCTAGCTCAAGGGTTCCGCAGATGCGCGTAGGGCAAGACGATCCGCACTGCCTATGCTTGATTCGGCCGCTATGCCCTTTTCTGGCGTTCCTCCGGTATTTTCCATAAGCCCCGACTCGGTCACGTACACCTGCGATGGTGCAGATGGTTTCCATGGCGCTTGTTGCAGCTTGTATAATGCGAACATTAATCCCCAGTATAATGAATGTCAATGGGCAAGTGACGGATCTCCTTTCTCTTGGTAAGTGCCTTCTCATACCTCTGTACAGCGGCCTGACAGGCTCTCAGCCCTGATGGGACTTATACGACATGCTGTTCGAAATCAGGCTATGATTGTTTTGCGCCTTCGACGACCAACAGCTTCACTTGCGCCACAGCCCCATTCTCAGTTGAAGCTTGCTGCGATTCCACAGATACAAATCTATGCGGTCCTCCCGGAATTCCGAAGATGCCTGGTTGGCCCTTTCAGTGGTGAGTCAACGAACACGTGTGTGTGCCTTTAAATGGCTGACAGGTCATATAGTCCGGGTCCGGTGGATACCGGTTATCGATACCCTAATTGTTGCTCGGATACCACGTACACCTACTGCAACAATGCCGCTGTTTCATAGGCGTTTCAATGTCAATGGAATCTGAAAGTCTGAAAGGCGTGTCTTTTGTGAGCCCGTCGACTGCTGAAGGCCGATTCACTGCTACTGGTGCGCCACACAGGAACTAGTTCTTTTTTCCGTCATGTGTCCCTGACCACATTCTTCCGTTGACATTCCGTGCTCGACATGTCTGCCATAAGACATTTTCGAATATCACACGATCTTCCAAAGCCACAACCATTTAAACATCTTGAGAGAGGCGTCGGGCGCCCGAGCATCGAGGGTATATTTGACATGAACGCCGAATGCATCGGAATGCACAGGAAGGGTCTTTCAGACCTCCGCCTCCGCCTGTTTCCCTATTAATAATGCCCAACTTCCGAAAATAGACTTCCCCTCGTGGATACTGGTTGTGGAAGCCCCGGAAAACCCCAGTTCATCCCCCCAACACACAATGCAAGGACTACTCCAGCTCTTTGCCCTTCTGTGCTTTGTGGCCGTGTTCTTGCCGAGTACCGAAGCATCAACCAATGCTCAGCGTTTTGCCAAAGGTCTGCCACCTGTGAGGCCTCGGCACCTCTACAACGGAACTCCTGTGGAGAGTAAGCACCTCGTTTCCATATGGAGCTTGAATTTTAGTAAACCTTTGACATCAGCTGCGAGGAGGGCCAGACGATCCATGGCCCCCCCAGGAACACAATACTTCTGCATGAACTACCAACCAGAATGCTGTAATGGCATTGTTTATAACGGCGACGGCAGTGTAACTTTCACGGGATGCACTACCACATCAAGTCCGAACAACCCCTTTACTTGGTGCGCCCCTTTTCCCTGGTCCAATCTACCTGGCCGTTCACAGTCATTTCTCTAGTTCGGACTCGCAATACACGCTTTGCCAGAATGGAGACAATCCACCTTTCATTGCCAGTACCTACCACTCCTATAAATGCCCTTCCAGTTCGTACAGCACTATCGCCTGCTGCGATCCGCAAAATATGAACCACTGTGTGGATCCACTCCTGTACAACGGGTCAGGCAGCACTGAATCGGCGTTCTACTGGTAGGTTTCTCCCACTTCAAGTATATACATACCTGCTAATCATACTCTCAGTCCGAACTTTGGGTTTGATAGCTTGCTCAGGTCTCCGAACTGCTGTACGGATAGTACTTGGACAAAGTGTGCCAATGGTGCGACGGCTAATTAGGCTTCTGTGTCCTGTCTGAGATAGCGATGTAATTGCACAATTCGTCAGCCAACGGACTCCTCTTATGCGCGATGTACCATGCCACACATTTTTTTAATTGGACTAGTAATCTTCACGTCTTCCCGTGCGACCTGGCGGCGACCGAAAGAATGCTGACCAATGATAGTATCAATACACCGCCACATATGCTTACTCAGCATACGCGTGCGTCATAGAACTTCTCAGTCAGCAGGGGGATGAGGCATTTCGAACCGCTCCATAACTTCCTTCAATATGGCCTTCCCTATAAAAATACCCGCACTAATGGACATGCCGTCAACAAACAAGATCACCATTTCGAATAGACGATGGATTCAGCATACGAACCACCGCTAGCATTGGAAATAATCGGTACAATTTTCATTGGCGTCGCTCTGTGCTTCTCGCTATGGATTGCGGTTGACATTGTGAGGAGAAGAGGATGGAGGACTATGATGGCCATTATGTGCGTCTTGTCTCGTCGTTATCTGAGCAGTGACTGATGAGAATGGCAGGATACCCGTATATATTCTCAACGCGCTGTATCTCGCGCCGATAACGCTCTGGACTTACCTCAACTGGGGACGACCTCCGAAGCCGCTGGCAGCAAATCATATCAACGAAACGGATCGAGATACGAAACTTGTGGACGCAGAAAAGGGAGAGCCACATGCACACATGCATATGACCCATGAAGGACAAAATATGCATGGACCGGCTGGACACGCGGACGATGAGGGACATGGATTCGATGTGGGCCAGGCTGATCCTGTGCACCATACCGACCACGATCTCCATTCCATGACCGCACACCACGAGCACAGTCCGAGGTACGAAACCAACCATCAGGGGAGCCAGATAGACACGCATTCCGTGCACGACATGGGAGACCATACCAGTCACAACATGTCAAAACATGAAGCACACGATATGTACAATCCCACCTTGAACGTCATTGTGTCCGGTCACGACATGTCTAAGCACGCCGATCACAATTTAGGCCTTCAGGCTGATCATAAAACGGACGATCCTCTCGATCAGGACAAGTTAAAGCATGCTCGGCATGACGTGAACCCGCATGGCGGACATAACATATCGCAACATATGCACATGATGGACGAGCGACCAATGTTCGCAACGATCACCATCGCGGTCTGCCACTGCGGTGCTGCTTGTCTGCTTGGCGATATCGTTGGTGAATGGCTCGTCTGGGGAGTCGGAGCGCAGATCAACGGACGCTCGATCTGGGCCGAGTGGCTCGTCGATTACGCCTTCGCCTTGGTCTTCGGCATCGTGTTTCAGTACTGGAGCATCGCACCCATGTCAGGAGAATATGGTCCGAAGACACTGTGGCGTGCAGCGAAAGCAGACTTTCTCAGCTTGACGGGGTTCCAGATCGGCTTGTTTGGCTGGATGGCGATTTTCCAGCTCGCGATTTGGCAGGACCGCCTGCAGATGAATAATGTCGTGTATTGGTGGATGATGCAGGTTGGGATGTTTATGGGTCATTGGACGGCATTTCCAGTGAATTGGTGGCTCATCAAGAATCGAATTAAGGAGCCTTGCGCATAGAGGGTTTACTGATCGAGGACTCGCAGGCTGTACCATCAGTGTGACTGTTTGTAAGAAACATAATTCTGTGGCTGTGTATCCCTTAATTTACGTATGATGACTGTCATATGTAATTCCCACTCGTAACTGTGCACTTCTAGAACTTGTTAACTTTACAACAAATGATTTTACAACAACTCGGATTTATGCCTTTAATGACACTTTAACGTACTTCAGGTGACTAGTTGTTTGATATCTGGCTGTTAACTCGAGAGATAATAACTGACTTTCATATGCATGCCACGAGACCCTTGTTCCCCCCCCGGACGTAATCGTCATCAGGTGTGCACGGGGGCTACGCACGGCTGAACCGGCTGTCCCCAAGAAGGCCCGCATATCTCCTATCGTCTAACACCACGTTCATCCTCTCCCTCTGCCTTGCACTCGCCGCACCCATCAGCAACTTCTCCTTCCTTTCACCTGCACCACCACCTCACAGCGACTACTCTCCGTTACATAGTGCAGCCCCAAGGCATGGCCGAAGGCGACCCACATCTCAAACGCCAGCGATCCATCTCAGTCTCACCTGACGACGTCGACCCCGAACGCCCCAACAAGAAGCAAGCACTATCCACATCCTCCGCCTCTCCAGACAGGCTCTCAGCATCCTCATCATCCAGCCGCATGGAGAGTCTCTCAGAAGAGAGACCCGACTTGAGCAGCGAAGTGCTCGATGCTCTAGAGGCAGAACTGAGTTGTGCATGTTGCGCGGGGTTGCTGCATAGGGTGAGTCAACCCCAATAAGCTTAGAGAGGAGTACAGCTCTCCTAACAATTGATCCTGTAGCCCGCTCTACTCCAGCCTTGCAATCACGCATTCTGTGCCTCCTGCGTCGTCTCCTGGGTCCGGGTGCGTCCGCTACCCGCATACATGCGCTTCTCGCCACTTCTGACACCCCCTTGTAGAACGGAGGCACTGCCTGCCCCACCTGCCGCTCGCCTTCAGACAGCATCCACTCAGCACGTTTCTTGCAGAACATGATCGACCTTCTCGTCCGTTTCCGGCCTGAAGCAGCGAGGAGCCTCAAGGAGAAGCAGGAAGCTGATGTGATCTGGCTCCCCGGACAGCTTCTACCTGTATGTATTGCTGTCGGTGGTCGCACCAGAACTCTGACATGAATGCGCTATATATAGCTCCCCCCCGCACGCCCTCGCCATCAATCTCCGCCTCCAATGCCACTCAACCTCGCCCGCCCTTGCCCCCATTGTACTCGTAACAATCACTTCGGCTACGTCTGCCCCATTCCCATCCCCGATCCCGCCCAAGTCCCGCGTGAACAGGCCTGGGACCTCGAGTCCCACGGACCGCCTCATGGGCACGGGTTTTGCAGTGGATGTGACGAGCTATATGCGCTGGGTGCGCCGACGGGAATGAGCTGCAGCTTCTGTAAGAGCAAGTACTGCGGATATTCGGTCGTGGCGACTTGTGTTCTGCCGAAGGTCACCAGACCACAGATGCCAAGAGTAAGCTTGCTTCCACTCCTTGTGTCGGTTCTCAGGCTCATGAACTGGTAGCATATGGACACAGTTGCGAAGCTCCTCGAATGTGATGAGCTATACGAGGCTTTCTGTCATAACTCAATCGAGGTAGATCTACTTATCGACTACCTGCATTCCCGTCAGGGAGGAGTCAATGGGGTGTTGCGGAATGTACGTGTTGGAATGTTTCATGTCTTGTTCTGTTTCTGACGCATCTTAGATCATTGAATGGGTGCGGTGCCAGCCTGGGGGGTTCAATATTTTGAACTTCCTCGCTATGGAGGGCCCGATCGGAGATCAGTCGCGTCACAATGGGCATGACGACGATGACTCTGACCGCGATAGCGATTCTGAGGACGAGGACGGGGAGCCAGAGATTGAACCTATCCCTAATGAGCATCCTGCTCCTCCATCGGATGACGATCTTCATCAGCCTCCCGCGCCTGCAATGGCCACTAATGCAAACGATATGAGCATTCCTCCTATTGATTCGGTGTTGCCGCCGCAGAATCCCGAAATTGCCCATGTGGAAGGCCCCGGCTCAGACATGGAGGTGGATCCTCCAACAGGTGTCCTGATACAGCCTCCTCCTGCGAGTGATGTGCCTGCCCCTATGCCGCCGCAGGCTGAAATGCCGCCCCAACCTCCTGTCTATTTCACGAGGATCTGCAGAGACTGCTCGGAGCAAGTGTTTATCTGGTAGGCGCCATGTGATTTCTCCACGATACTTGGTGCTGATCCGCCTCCAGGGGTATCTACGACTGGTGGGTACGGGAACGCTCGCTTGTCGAAGCTGCGATACCCGCTACTGTGAGAGCCAAGAAGGACTGTGTGAACGGACGGAGGTGTGACCATCAAGGGAGTGCTTCGCATTCAAGAGAGTGTAAGTGCCGTGATAATGTTTTATTGACCAACATCTAACACTGTCTCAGTCAACCACATCTGCGATCCAGCCCCACCATCTTCCAATCCCGAGCATGCGCTGCCGCCGGTACCTGACGCAGAGGATCCTCTTCCTCTTCCTATTGAGGCTCTACCGCCCCCCGTTCATTTCCCGCCGATGCCATCCTCCGACCCCGCCGAGCAGCTCATCGAAGACATGCTGCTCCATCCCAATGCCCCTTCGCTTGCCCTTCCCATTCTGCAGGCTCAGGGTGATATCAACATGGACGATGAGGCTGAAGTCGAGCGCCAGATGGAGCAATACCTTAACCTGGAGATTGGAGTCACCGCGGCCGTCTAGATTGGAAGGACCTCGCATTCGGTTTCTGCATGTTTCGCTCGCACTCATTAGTGGTTCTCTCAGCATTATTCAGACGGCTCTAGGCCGTCTGACGACTTTCTCTTCTCTGCACTCTCACTCTGCGCACTATGACACTACTATGCATTTGACGGTTGTTAAAGATATGGAAACAAGAGAATCGCGTAATGAAACTAAGCTCTAATTATCTTGCCCAAAAGAGCGCCTCGTTCAGAAGTGCAGTCAAATACGTGCCAGTGCCTCCTCACTCGTCGATCAGCAGCTCCTCGCCTCCTAGGATGTTTTCCAGATCAGGCTGCCGTGGTCTGAAGACCACCTTGTACGGGTAAGGACTGCAGATGCCTGCCGGTATATACCCAGTCGCCGGGTCTGTGTTGATCGGTGCGGACGGGTCTTCGCTGAGGTCGAACGCCTACATTAAGTGCTATAATACATCAGTTGTGTAACGAAGCGCCTCGTCTATGAGAGCTCACGGCAAGATTGCTTGCAAAATCATGTCAGCCTGATATCGCGTGCAGAAGCGGGAAACTCACATGAAGATAGAACGCTCGGCGATGTGTAAACCCGGGCAGTTTCGACGGCTAGATCACGTCAGCTTAGTAGTGACAGTGGCAAAAATGACTGACCCGAATCCCCACGTAAAGTGCTGCATGTCTTGCCGCAGCCTCAACTCGCCCTTCTCATCCGTCTCCAGCCAACGTTCCGGCTTGAATGTATCCACGTCGTCGAACAAGGAGGGATCACGATGTAGGCACCAATGGACGCCGTAGACAAGTGAATCTTTCGGGATGATGTAATCGTTGAGCTCTTCGTCCTGCATCATGCGATGGGGAAACCCGCGAGGGTTGGGGCTTCTCCATCTGTACACTTCTCGGATAAACGCGTTCAAATAAGGGAGGTTCGGTAGGTCGTCAAAAGAGGGCGCTGCATCAATAGATGAGCTCAGTGCTTCCCCTTCTTTATACAAACTGACTTCGATCGTTCCCGACCACCATGTCCAGCTCTGCTTTGACTTTGATTTGAGCAGCAGGACGCTTGGCTGCAGCAAGAAGACCGTGCTGTTAAGCTGTTAGGATCTGATCTTTAGTGCTGGTTCGTTATCCTACGTTGATGGTCACCGCAGCTGTGTCACTTCCTGCGTGATATAAACTTCCAGATAGCCAAGCTAGCTCTTCCTGCGTAAGACCGTACTCTACGTTAGTATTTCTTCAAGGGCACACATGTAAGACGGCACGGACCGTCTTGTTTCTCGGTCATGTACTTCACAAATGACGGAGGCGCTTGACCCTCTAGCATCTCTTGCTGCACTCCTCTAATCTTATCGAGATAGTCCTGCAGCTGCCTCCTGAATGCCGCTTTAGGCTTACTGAGGTATCCAGGTAGATAGCGAAGAATGGGCCACGTCTTCAAACACAATGAGCGAGGTTACAAGCAGCTGGTCAATTCACTTGCCTCGCACTTATAGCCACCGGGAGTCACGGCGACTACGAGCTCGCGGTTCCATGCAAGCGCTCTATCAAACCATTAGGTTCATCTACACGGCATCTCGATAGCCCTCGTACTGGACAAGTGAGGGATCTGAGTAATGGGTCTTGTTACGTTTCGCAAAGGTCATCGAGTTGATCACGCTGCTAGCATAAGTGTGGAAGATGTCTTTGAAGTTCGTGCTGTCATCCAAGATATCTCGGAGCATATTTCGCGCTGCTCTCTCTGAAAGGGGTCCATATCTGCGGCAGATGTCAGATAATTGACTTATCAGGAAGTCCTTGCACTCACGATTCTGCCATCTTGGGCATCAACAGTTGATGCACGGCTTTCTGAGGCTTCAAATCAGACTGATGACTCTACACCATATGCGAATCTATACCCGAAGTCGGCGGAATTTGTCACCATATCGAGCAAACAAAAGACCCATACCCTAGATGGGGTTAATCTGGATCTCGGGCATTGAAGAGCGGTCAACACTTGGCTTGCCACGTAGTTGCTGGGTCGATCCCCCGTTGTCGCTCCCCGCTTCTCAAGAAGTTCGAGAACAGGTTCGGCACGTGTGATATAGATATTTGGCGGCTGGAAAGGTCCGTTTCGAATTGCGATAATGGGGCCATATTCGTGTTGCATCTGCTCCAAAGCGAGCCAAGAACGGCCGCGAGGCTCTACATATTTCCCCTTCCAATCCGGAGGTGGACCTGGTGGAAGTCTAGCATATTTGTATGACAGATAAATACGCAAGAACGAGACAGCCAGGAAGAGGACGGTTGCCAGCCCAATAAACACCTTGTACGAAGACGCAACCGCCGCGAACAAGCCAAGCGCTGACATAGTTTATCCCGATGAGGTTGGATAATCTAGCGACAGCCGTAATCGAACAGACAGACGGTCATAGCTGCGGTCTTTTATGACAATCCAGGCCGTTAGATAGTTGCACCTGTAAGAGGCAGAACCATTATCCGGCATCCTTTGGTCGGTCACGAGCCAGTTGTAGGAAGACGGTTTCGTCCCACCACATCAAACGTGGCATGTGCCTTGTGTAATCCACCGTGCAGAGACCGTGATATTCTGGATATATAGATGAAGAGCCAAAAATAAAGTCAGCGCCAGAATGTGGAGCCCCACAATTTTGTTCAGACACACACACTTGAGAGAAGTGGCTGTGTAAACACGTGACGGATGAATGAAAGAGCGTTTCAAGTTTACACGCATGAAGGTTACATTCTCGCTGCGACTACTCTTCGTCCTGCTTCAATGTCCCAAATATGTTTCTGAGCTGGAGTAGTGGGTACTCAATCGACAATGCTTCTCGGCGCTCGATGTACTGGCAATAATCTTTGACCCTTGACTTGGACATCATAACGACAGAGATACTTACCTGTTCATCATATCCAAGAATGACGTTTAGGATGCTGCCTCGGTGTCTTCCTGTTGTCCGTTGGTGTACGGCTTCGGACAACAGCTCGTATGTATTGCGAAATGTTTGACGAAGTCGGTCTACGTCTAGCACGGCAGCACTAAGGTTGTTTCCTGATGTTGCTAATATTCAAACCTGGCTCTTCTGACGACTCATCGACTTACTCGGGTCGCGTGGATCTTCAACATACAACCCGGATACGTCAGGGACCGCCCATCCGTGATCCGTTGGGTCAAATAGAGCGCCGTCTCCCCGAACAGAAATTACACGAGTGTAATCGAACGATCTTGAATCTGGACCGGTGTTGCCGTAATATGCGAAGAAAGAAAGCAGATGCTTTCCCAGGTTATGCTGAATATCACCGCATATTCCGTCTCCGTGTCGGCACAACTGTACGATTCTCTGTTAGCATGCAGAGAGTATGTCTTTTGGAAGTCGTACTTGGAAGAAACTGACGATCATGACAATTAAACAGTAACAGTTTACACTGCCATTCCAAAGGTTACCAAGTTCGTTTCTTGTCGCCCATGCCTTCACGACGACGGCAAACCCTCTGAGATGAGGTCTTGAAGAGAGCTTATCATTGATCCAAGCTGCGACCTGCTTCCCGCTGTCGGTGCTCCTGAAAACTTGCCGCTCAAATTCGCCTGTCGCTTGTCGTTTGTTCTCTTTCTTTCTAGGATTGGAGGCACGTACTGTGGCTTCGTGTGACCGTTGCATGCGCAAGAGCTGAATTGACATGAGTCAAGAACGCATATGTCTGCGGGAGGTCCGTACCCGTTTTCTCGGGTACTTGGTCCAGCTCTCCAAAGAAGTAGTGCCATCTGAATATGGGCCATATATCTGCGAGGAGTGTCGACGTTCTACTGAAGGGGTTGTTTTGTCCTTGCACAGGATTCCCGTATAACCAGATCAGGGTAACGTCGATTTCTCTGTTGAGTTCCCTTCAGCACCCTTATATGCAGCTGTATCCAAATCTTACCCGTCAGGCAAATATAACTTCGTTAGCAAGCTCCCGAACGCCACCAATTCACACCAGGGATATATGTATTTGAGTTTACGCCTCAAGCATTCTACGAAGTATATGCGACGTTCGTGTTCCTCTTCGGTTGGACTAAGCCAGCGCCCGCAGGCCTTTATCTCGTCCCCCAGGCTATTCAAAATTGTCAGACCCACCTAATCTCGAGATGGATAACATGCCTTGATATAGCTTACCCGTAGCCCCTTCCTCGCTCTCTCAATGCGGTTAGCCATGGAGCCTGGATGGTAGGACAGGAGGTGCGATTCTTGGGCCGCTCGACATGCCACTGAATAGCATGGGGCATTGTGTACCTATATAGACGTTTCGTCTTGAAGAAAGCCTTAGGAGGACAATTTGTGTTAAACCGTTTTCTATACAGGTAGAAGATCTCTCTTATAATTACCAGGTCGCGTCAATGACCCAAACGAATTGTGAGTTCCGCTTGGGTGCCAAATTTCTTTATCCCGAATGAAAGGATTACGGACCAATCGCGGTACAGCCTTTACCCTTACCGCGGCCGAACAGCTCTCATTTATTCCTCCTCCTTTTAGAGCAGACAACTGCACGGAGTCAGATTGGTCGAGGGCAGCGTTTCCCTTTCGGAGTTTTGCCTCACTCGTCATCAACGATCAAGTTCTTTTGCAACTCTCTTCATCAATAAAAGGGACAAGAATTAAAATAGAGAGAAACGCCGTTTGTGGCTTAAACATATCAAAGGGGTAGAGTCGCATTGTTTGGGCAACCTTCCGACGCAAATATGGGATCAAGATGGCGGCGCACGAACTCATAAGTTGCAACGGGATTGGGCGAACTCTCTAAGAATGATATGAGTGCCTTTTCTCCTTCCTGTGCTGAACAGACGTACCAGCGGTCGAAATAGCAGTGTTATACGTATCGCAACCCCCCACCAAAGTCTCGGGGCTCATATTGAGAAAAGACCCGTTGCCATACCCAATGACAAACGGCACAGGATAGGCATCGTATTGTGCCTGCCCACCATTGGCAATAATGCTGGAATTCAGAGGGCTGACACGGTTGTGCCATCCCTGTGGAATGCGCTCCGGCTGACTCCCATAGGATCCGTTACTAAGAGGTACAGCACCAAAGAACGATCCAACGGTTTCCAAATCCGGCGTCATGTTCCTGGCAGAAGATGGGAATGCTTCAAAGAGAAAGACGCCGGCACCGTAGTTGTGGATCTTTTTTGGCAAATCAGCGAGATGGATGTGACTGCACGGTACTGATACTGACCTCTCCAGGAGGGAATACAATCCATGGGTTTTCAGCGATGGACTGGTTGTATCGTCGGGCACGATGGAGAGCAACAGCGTCGAAGTCAAAGATGCTACGCAGCGGAGATTTTATTAGCAGGGTGCCGTCATCAAGAGAAGCGTACGCACGGCGTCCCATTATGGAGCTCAGCAGCCGTCTCTGCCATCATCTGAAACAGAGTCGAGTTGAAAGTATGTGCGTCCCCGTACAGATAGAAATCATCTCTGTCCTGAGTTGAGTCGATCAGACAGCCACGACTGAAGATAACATTACCTAGTCAAAGACACATCGAGTTCGAATCTAGTCAATACGTCTCAGCAGGTCGACTTGTAAGAGATTAGACAGTGCATACGCGTTATGTTGATCCAATCCTCCGTAATTACCAGTGAATTCTCCTTGTTTACCGATCTGTTGAGTAACTGCACCCCCGATGGAGAGCATCTCCGTGACGGGGTCTCCATCCGTGGCGATTCCCACTACAACAATAGATCGGCCCTGATCATACAAAACGACGATAAAAACTACGCACGAACAGCCAGAATAACGGCTAGTTCCCATTGAACCTGGAAGGGCTCAGCGAGGGACAATCTAAATGGCGGCCAAAGCTCACATTCCAAACATTTTGCATACCCGCAACAAGCTCCGTAAAAGTTGTCAAACCATCGCGAGAGATGAAGCCGTGATTGGCAAGAGTGTTCATGCCTGGGCTGAAAAGAGTTGAGTTTTATGCCACTGCATTATTTGATTGAGCTCCCTTACCAAGGACCACGCTGGGCACCGGGAGGAGGGTGTTGATAATAGTGAGCGGTATCTCCAGGAGCCGGAACCTGAGTTTGGATCAGCCTTTTACTCATCACGGAGAAGCGATGTCGTACCTGGATGCCACCGATACCTTTGCCAGGTTGACCGTCGAGAAGAGCACCGGTGTAGGGGTACTGAGGGGAATACGGTGCAGCTCCTCGACGAAGGATCGGTCCGACAGAAGCTATTCCGCCAGTACCGGCATGCAAAGACCGTTCATAGGCTGGCCAGGCAGCAGTATAGCCAACCCACAAAATGAAGTTGAGAGCAGTGAATCTGAGCTGCATGTAGACAAAGAGAAGGGGTTAATGTGTTTAATGTTGCGCTCCCTACGTCTGGCAAGCTTGGTATTTATGGTTTTCCGAGGACTGTGCATCGTGATTCCGGAAAGACTCAGCAGTGTCCTCTCATAGGAGGTGCATATGGACCTGCTATCCATCCAGTTGGTAACGACATCAAGTGTGCTATACCGCAGCAGCTTGACGAATCAGGCGCAGCGTAAAATACTTCTTTCTTCGCAAATGCGATGTCAGCCAGTTAGGAATGTTGAAGGAGACTTGTGGGTCGTTCCGTTTATAGTTAGTCATTAGCCAGAAAAGGCACAGGAAGCGGAGACCACGTCGGGGGTCTTTGCCGAGGGTCTCAACCACGTGCTTCTTTTATGCCGAGACCCTTCCGGCCAGACCCCGACGGCAGCCCCTTCCTTCGTCCATCGCCCCATTTGGGGCGATGGATCTCCCTTTCCCGTCCATCTGTGCGAGGAATCTCCCTTCCTCCGTCCTATTGCCAGCAAAGAGACAGAGTACAGGATGCGCTCACATCACATAGCAGTGATTAATGATGACAGGCACTATCAGAGAAGCTGAGGGAGCCATGAGGAGCATTCCGAGTGAATTGTCCCGCTTGGACGAAGTCCACGCAGTGGGCAACCATGATTTCTTCAGAACGTTATGGATGCGGTAAGCGTCGGTGCCTAAGCGCTGCAACATTCCGAGAGTTGTGAATGGTGGTCTGCCTCACTTACCATATCACCCAAGGCAAAATGGGTGCAGGTCACATGGGACCGGCAGGCAGGATCAACTTGTGTGAAGATATCCATTGATTAAGACGTTCAGTCTTCTACCAGTAGCAACGATAAGAAGAGGACAGTCCCAAGGAGAAAGCTGAGTCTTGACAACGAGTGACATCTATTCTAACCGAGGGTTGAGCCCCATAACCAATCGTGCCACCAGGTAATCACTTTTGCTGCCTTGCGATATTTCACGCCTCTCAGTGTGATGACTGGTCGTCCAGTGGTAATCAGGCACAGCTAACCCAAAAAAATCAAGCAGGCCCGCAGAGTAGAGAAAGGAGGAATGACATGCAATCGTGTGTTGCTTCATGAGGGAGGAAATGATGCGAATAGGGCATTACAGGGGTCGACCGGATGATGCTGATGCAAGACATGGGCTTATGAATACGCTAGCCATTGGATTGAAGGACAGGAGGAATGGTCGTGGTCGGAGGGCGTGAGAGGGCGACATCCAGGGTATGGAATCGCCTCCAGGTCATGAATGCTGGACAACGATGGAAAGGTGGATTGGATGATGCGTGGAATTCAAGTTGACGAAATGAATGGCGAGATTGAGGAGGAAAGCGAATTGACTGGGTCAATGTCATTGTTGCCAAGGAATTTGACTTCGTCCTTGAAATAGCCATTGAGGAACATTGCCCGTATTATCTCTGCCAGGGATATAGGGTGAAATAGACAAAGACGAATTTTGCATAGCAGTCATTTGTGCGGAAGGGGTAGAGTAGGTGGTTCGGAAGGGGGGTCGAGAGCCACGGTTTCGCCCAGAGGCTGCAGGTGCAGGTGTCGGTTCCTCTGGCAAGCGGTCCCACTCTTGAAGTAGACGAGCGCCTACAGTTGGCTCCAATTCTGTGCCGTCACGAGACACTTTCACCTCTCTGTCGTTATTCCACGGGTTTCGGAGATGTCTCGCGCGATAAAAAGGCAAAGGTTCGACTTTGATCCATTCAATCTTGAATGGTGTTCCCCATGATTCCTCCTCCTTGCCAGCTGGCCGATGACTGGCTTCCACCTCCGGAGATTTTGGAGTTGCAGGTGAATGGGCCGGTTCTTCTTCAGGTAGCACGGTACTCTCGCTCGGGCCGGTTGTACGCTCTTCTGGCTGGTCTAACGATTCTGCGGGCCTCTGCCGCTCGGGTACAGGCATTTTTTCATGCTCTCGGGTGTCTTCCAGTGATAGAGCGGTATCCCTGCGCATTATGCCGTCCTTGTCAACTTCGCCGGGTAAGCTTGACGAGCCAAGTGTAGCCTGTATGTCAGCAGCTGACGATAAGGCGCCGGCGACGACCTCATTTCCAGCGGGCTGACTTGCCAAAGTAACGGGAAGACTGGAAGACTGGTACACCTCACCCCCATCAATGGTGTTATGGGTCGCAGTCTGGTCAAACGAGAACCCTTTCCGTTCCGGACCAATCTCTGCAGGAGCAGAAGCAACGTCCAGAGGGAGAGGCGGCTTTGGCGCATCGTCGCCAGTTGGTTGAGGGGCGGGTCTTAGGCTTTGTCGTCTGCTGAGAATGCCGCAGAAATGTGGGTGATGGACAGGTCGCGTCTCGTTTGGCTCAAGGTCTTCCAGCGATTTTGATTCATCGGAAGTCATAGGTTGGGGAGAGGCCGCAATTGAGTGGCTTCCCTCTGAGGTTTCCACTAGAGTACGAGGAAGCACCATTGGACCGGGGACCTCTTCTCGGCGTTCCCCAAGTGACCCTTCGGGAACCGCTGACTCTTCGATCTCAGGTGCAGATACTTCCAAGGACGGAGGCACGTCCATCGCTTCATCTTGTTTAGGTTGCGGGTTTTCAGCAATAGCTCGGTCTATCTCAGTGCCATTGTCGGCCAACTGGGTTTGGGGGGATCCTTCATCCTGTTTTTTCTCCTCGCGCTTCTCACCCTCTTGATCCTCTGCGATCATCTCCGGCTGCGAGGGTCGCTTGCTCAGCGGGCCCTCGATGCTCTTATTTGACGAATGCGAGCTCTCGGTGCGGGAGGCCCAGGAGATGCGGTTTTCCGATTTGTCTATTTTGCCTGGATACTGAACCGGACCGGCCATACGCGCATAGCCGTAGAATTCGCCAGACTTATTCGCACCAAATATAAGGTAGACGTCTGTGCTTGTGCGAAAGGCCTGGTCCAGCACGGGTTCGTTGTGCGCTTGTGTGGCCCAGATGCCCCGCTCAACACTAAGATTGAGATCAAACTACGAGAACGCTGATCAGAATGCGAGCGATTGGCAAGCACTAACACAGCACTCACCTGAGTAAGCGATTTTAAAATAAAGTACCGCTTAGGGAAATACTTTTGCAAGAAGCTCGAGTTGGTGCTGGTGAAGCTTCCCGAGCTGCCTTGATGACCCAAAGTCTTTTGGCGCGTGGGCGTATCCGGCGGTTGGTCATCATCCTCCCCAAGTTTCCCACCCATTCCAAGTGTAGCATCCTGTAGCTCCTCACTCTCCTTCTCCCGTTGCTCCTTGACCCACCGGGTATGGATACCCACACCTCTCTGCCCGCCTACTCCCGCGCGCAAGTCATCGTCCTTCCGCCTTACACGGCACACCAGCCTGGGACAACGGGGATCGTTTGGCCGGATAGGCTTGTTGTTGAAGAACGCCACCGCACGCTCGAGGTGACTCTCCGAGTTGAAGTTTACGAAGGCGCAGTTGGATCGGGAGATGAGGAAGACGCTGCTCACGCCGCCAGGTTGGTCTTCGGCGGTGTGTGCCGGTCCGCCCTGGCCTGGAGTGCTCGTCTGAGTGGCACCAGGTACAGGGGGAGCAAAAGGCTGAACAGGCACAAGTTGGTTGAAGTAGCGCCATAGCTCGTCATGCGTCGCGTCATGGGGGACGTTTCCGACCCACATGACCCATTCTGACCTGTTCGTAGGCGGGTTTGGATGGTAGGGCTTACGCGTGGGGGAAGACGGGCGACGTTGGGGTCGACTAGCCTGGTTGGGTTGGGTCCCAGAGGCTGGGGCGAGGGAGGGAAAAGGGATTTGTGAGACTTGGGAGAAGGAACTGTCCCCTGCACCACCGACAGCGGTTGACGTCGAGCCTCGCAGAGTGCTCTCAGGTGAACGGACGCGTGGATCGGAGGAAGCATCCGTAGGTGGGGAAGAGACGGATTGGGAGAGCGACGGTCGCTGACCATGGCCGTATGATGCTCTCAGCGGATGCTCGCCTGTTCCCACCGGTGCAGCAGGGAACATGCTCGGGCTCAACTGCCCCGCGCCGGAAAATCCATCCTCGTTCCTCATTTGGGGGTGGGGGAATCCGAGCCCATATGCCTGGGGATACTGCGCTTGTTGCTGAAGCGGTGTATGACCTCCATGACCATGGGCATGTGCGCGTGCCCGCGCCTGGGCGTCAAACGAGCTCTGCGGATCCTGGTTAGGTACGAAGTACCATGTCCCTGCTCCTGCTTGGGCTTGCACTTCTTCAGGGGATTGGAATGAGCCAGGGAAGGAGGATGGGAATCGGGGTTGGGTGAAGACGGGAGAAGTGGGGACTCCGAAGACGGGGGAGTATCCCTGGAGTGCTGAGCTACCTGGGGGGTAGCCGAGGGGGTAGGGCTGCTGTGGTTGGAGCGGGCGAGTGCCTGGAGGTGGTGGGGATGCCGGTGGTGGAGGGGAGAAGTGGAAGGAGCTTGGTGGGTAGGGCGGACGCTGGCCCTGCGGCACACGTGGTGGTTGGGGAAACGGGGGAACCGGGTCAGGCGAGATACGCTGGAAGGAGAACGGAGGGGGGTTGCCAAATGCCAATGGGGAAGTCAGGAGATCGGGGGCGGGCTGGTAGGAACCAAAGGGCGCACCGGGGGCGTAGGACGTCCCTGGAGGGCCGACGACAGGCATAGACCCAATCATGACCTGCATTGGGCTGGGGTAGGAGGGTGAGTAACCTCGGGGGTTGTAAGGCAGTGGCGGGGGCTGCTGCCCGTACACACTTGGCATGGCGTACGTTGCTGCTGCTGGGGGACGGCCGTACGGGTCTCCGGGGGCACCGACAGGACCATAGGACATCTGAGCTTGTGGGAAGGGTTGGCGCGCGAGTGGGAGCTGGCGAGGCTGCTGTGGTTCCTGCCGACGGGGCGGGACTTGCCTGTCAGACCTGCGCGAGCCTGAACGGTGCATGTCAACTTCTTCTTCTCCCGGGCCCGCAGAACCGTCGTTGCTCAGGGCTGGACCGAGTCTTGCGCCTGTGAGATCTGGGCTCGGGGGTTCTCGCCGCTGTGCTTGGGCACCGACCGCACGTAGAGGGGATGTGGGAGGTCTTCCCACAGTGGATGCGGGGGCAGGAGCAGTAGATACAGAGGCGGGGTTGGGACCAGCAGGCGCCCAGGGAGCGCGGAGAGATGCGGAGGAGTCGTATATCGTTTGCGCTTGGGTGAATGGCTCCGAAGGGGGGACGAAAGAGGGTATGGAGTTTGGTGGAGTGAAGGGCTGTTCGGGATCTGAGGGAATAAGAGTTAGTTAGGTTTGGGCGTGGTGTACGAGTTCGTGAAGGGAAAAGAGGAGAAAAGATTGCAGAAATGTGGAATGGGACGAAAGAAGACAAGGGTAGTGGGCGAACAGGCAGCGACAGCGGTGTGGTATAGGGGTGATATGTGGTGAATGTTGGGGTACGAAAAGTGCTTTAACGGCGGGGGCGGACGATGACACCCTTGCTTCGCTGAGGCCCTTCGCCATGCCAACCCACTCCGCGAGGCTGCGAACACGTTCCCGTTTGTGGCCTCTGCCACGGCTGATTACTCGATGTTGGAATCGCGCAAGCTGCGGGGGGAGAGGCGGCGGTCGGCGGTTGGAGGAAGATGGCAGCATACCAACTGCAGCATATACGAAGATGATGCACCGCTTTCCTTCCTCCATCACTCTCTCGCTTCCTGAGAGAGGAGACCGCCGCTAGAAGCCAGTTGGCGATGCTTTTCCTAATGCGGGGGTGGCAGTACGTGTATTGGTGGGTTCGATGGTGTCGTCGATAGATGGTACGAAGACACCGACGCGGTCATGGTACGAGACTCGATCCATCGTAGGGTAGGTCGGGTGATCCCGATGGCCATCTTCATTCTCTCCATATTCGCTCTCCTCAAATTCGAATGACCAGAATCCAAAGGGGAGAGAAATGCAATGTGTGGAAGTGCTGCATACCTGAAAATGCCCGATGCTGCGTCCTATGCCTATCCTGTTGTTGATCCATCCTTTCCCTCTGTTCCCCAACGCTCTATCGTCCACGGCGTCTCGAATTGAATGCAGAGTGTAGTCGTGAGTGGACGCAGAGTCGTGTGTTACGTCCTATATGATCATGAGTATGATATGGTGGTGGTTGAGAAGAGAGCAGGGAGTGACATGTAGAGCAACTAGCGTTGGTAATAAGTGATCGGTAGCAATGCCGAGTGACAGTAGACCAGGGCAAGGCACAGTGGCGGTGGGGGGAGGAGAGAGTGAACCACCGGTAGACGTCACCACTTTTACTCTTCCGTCGGGACCACTCATATAACACGTCCTTGCACCCATCTCTCTCTCTCTCAACTCTTGCCCATAGCAACCTCCTCCCTCATCCACACCCCAACAAATCCTATAAGCTGACGTCGATGGCGCTTCCCCGTTCCCCCCGCCGCCCATCGGGCTTATGATGCTGGTTCTTTCTAGGGCCCAGATCAATCACACGAGATATGCCGGTTACCAAGACGACTCTCGGTGCTTCTGCATACATTCCGACCACTTGGGCGCGTGAGTTAGCGCGAAAGGCCTGACGACAGACGCGCGTCCACACGAGGTCGGGAGATTTCGCGAGGTGTGAGAACCTGCCTCGACTTCCCACTCTTCTCCGTTGATGGAGGTACGTTGGAGGGGGTTACAACGGTTTGAAGTTTCAAGTTGGTTCATTACCATATTGGGAGAAAGTTTGTACGTATGCACTATTTTACGGGCTGGGTCGTACGACGTCCTTCTTCTCTTTTCATTGGAATCCTTGGAATATCTTCCTAGTCAGCGGGGGGGTAATATCACAAAAAGAATATATCATTTGGGAGGATTTGAGGATTTGACCTCGCTTTGAAGAACATGCAGCAATACCTCCGTTGAATGAAAGCTCAGAGAGAGAAGCATGGGAATTGCAGGAATATATGACGCACGAGGCACGGACAGAAAAGGAAAGAACTGTAGCACTGCCACTTATCACGTGATTGTCATACGTTTGTCGCGTCATGACGTCGTTGAGTTCCAGTCACCGTCTCGGTGGGTATGTTTCACCGAAGTAAAGGTAACGGTGACTCCTCCGATCACTACAAACGTATCATGACTGGTCCACCGATCACCGATGCACGGGCCATCTTCTCTAAATACTTAAACCCCTCGCATTTCGCCTCTCCGTCGCCTCACTCCTCTACCATCTGATCCTCATCCACTTAGCCAACCACTTCAGCAACTCCCACATATACAATGATGTACAGTCCTATCGCACTCGAGCACCCTGTTCCAACCCTCTCCCCTCCCGGTCCTGTGGACGGTATGGGCGTGGTTACCAAAGCTGACGTGGACAAGGCGTACAATTATCTTGACCTAGTCAAGAGCCACAAGGGTGCGCGCTTTCTTATGCATATATAGCCGTCGTGCTCATCGCCCCGCAGGCGCAGGCGCCGTCGACCAACAGACGGGACACTTGGTCATGGTATCTGCGTTGCACTGCCAGTCTGCGCAGGAGTACTATGATCGCATCAGCCATATCTACATGCATCAACTCGGTGCGCCGAATTACCTCTCATCTATGTGCAATGCTGAACACAAAATAGATCATCAACTGTCAGGTGAAGGACTAATGGACGTCGCTCGTTTCGTATCCAGGATGAACGAGATGGAAGCGCGTTTCAACAAACGCTTCAACCAGATTGAAGGACGGGTGGATAGCGTCGATATTCGCCTCGATAATGCTGAACAACGCTGCGATAACCTCGAGGAATACTTCTCTCGTATCAACAATCAGATCGAGAAGCGCTTTGAAAGCATCGACACCTATCTCACTGGGTTCGAGTCGCGCTTTGAGACGTTCGACATGCGCTTCAACAAGATGGACAAACGCTTGAGCCAGCTCCAGGAGACCAATCCGAAGGATCAGCCCATTGACAAGAACGCCAAGTGGAATGAGGAATTCAACCAGGCAGTCGCGTGGCCCAAACCTTCCAAAAAGAAGGGCAGCAAGAAGTCAGCTGTGGTACGATTTCGTCACACTGGCCGTTCTGCAGTCTAATTGCGCGACAGGATCCGGTACCAGCACCGGGCTGGTCAGACTGGTATAACACCTTGCCGGGTGTTGTTGTGCCCCACATGCACGGGCCTTGGCCGGCGATGATTCCTCTATACAACAGGAGACGAATGCATCCTACTATGGTACGCATTATGTTCCAAATGCCAATAGCTTTCTGACCTTGTCATCTAGCCGGGATACCCATATATCAGGAGCTTTGACGACATCGACAAAGCTGATTCCGCCACGATTATGATGTGGGAGAATCATTACTTTGACACGACGTATGATTTTGATACCCTGGCTATGCGCCGCAAGCGCATTTCCGATGAACTGCACTGTATCATGAAGGAAATGTGATCGTCCAAGTGTAGATAGTGATACGGTACTAGCATAATATCGTATCTCTGCCATATCAATGAATACAATTTGTTTGTTTTGCGAATGCTGGGAGCCCAATCCACGAAGGTTCACGGCTATCGTTATTTACACACGACGGCTAACACGATAATGCAGCCCGTGTGCAACTACAACGCTATCATAGTGGAGCTACGCAGCGAAAGCACACGTGAGTAGGGGGAGGGGGGGGAGATATGTATGCGGAGACATGTGTCGGCGGTTGCTATCTACAGTATATGCGCGGTGACAAAGGCTCCTGTACTGTCAGTTTACGAGTACGTTACCTTCAAGCAGGTCGGAGAGGTGTATATCCCAGTGCCGAATCCCGCGGTTCTCATCTTGCCAACTAGCACAATCTCAACCTACGTGTATCCCCTCGTCTAAAGAACCTCCCGCCTTCAATTTCGTCGCATTCTAGATCGATCGCGAGTGAACGTGATCCCGGTAGAAAAGACAACGCTACAGGACACCACATGTATGCACGACCGTCCCGACAAGAAATGTTCCATGAAAACGAGCAGTCGAACTTGACTAGAAGCGCAATCGAATAACCAGGCGTCTTGTAGAGTCACACATGTGCCCGCTCGAGGACAGAGAAGACACAAACTAAATTATTCAGATACCCAAAGCAGATAACAGGTACAGACAGGCAGATATGGGAGATACAGCCCTCGGGCTTACCAGAGACAGAGACAACGCAGACGAGACATGAGATGCGGAGACGACATGATGAACCAAGGGGAACCAGGGAATAGAGCAGGGAAACCAAATAAAGGAAAATAAGAGAGTTAATGAGTGAGTGAGATTGGACATGAATGGATGGATGGATGAGAGATTGGTCTATGGGCGGAGCTTGGGCTCCGTTTTGTGTTGTTGCTTGGGTTGAGGCCCGGGGCAGAGGATTCGATTCGATCCGATTCGGTTGGAGTCGATTTTGAGTGCACGTGTGGGGGTGGAGATGGAGATGGGGGGGGGTGGTACAGAACAGAGGGTAGGGTAGGGTTACAGGGGTACAACAGCGTGGGGGGGGGTCTTGCATGTTGGGGGTGTAGGTGTGGGGGAATACAGGATGCAGGGATGTGGGGATGCAGTGCGGGTAGCGGTGAGGTTGGGAATAACGGGTGCGAAAGCGGTGAGCTCCGGGAGATTTGGGTTATGAGGAGCTGGTGAATGAATCTTGGGGGGTAAGAGACGCAGCGCGAGGACAAGATGCGGCGAAGCAAGGGACCAGACGAGGGGAGGGTAGAGGACCAGGAGCCGTGCGGTCATAGGGCGGGGAGAAAAAGGAAAGTACCTGTGGTGCGTACGGCAGACTGGCGGCCAGAGCGAGAGCAGAGCAGGTATGGGAGGCAGATCGCAGCCCGTCGAGAGCAATAGGACCAGAGCTCGCGTAAAGAGGCAAGCACGAAGCGCTCAAGCATACCAATCGCTCTTACACACCCTCTGGTTCACGCCCACGACCTCGAGGTCAAAGAAGAGCGTCGCATCGCCAGGGATCATGGGTGGCCAACCGCGTTTTCCGTATGCCTAGCAGCGAATGAGGGATGAGCATACATGTGTCAGGGCTGGGTGGGGTAAGGGGACGCACGTAGCAGGCAGGGATGACGACTTTTGCACGTGCGCCGAGTGTCATATTTGGCCGTCCGAGGACTGGGTGGGAGCGTAAGCCCAGGCTCAAGAGAGAGGAGAGGGAGAGGAGGGACGTACCCCAGTCCAAGCCGCTGATTGCGTCCCCTTGGCCGTACTCGAGTCTATAGGACTTGCCCCGTGTCAGGGTCGTGTCTACCACGGTACCGTCGGCGAGAGTAGCGGTGTAGTTGATGAGTATGACGTCTGGTTTGGATGTGAGTAAGAGGGGGAAGAAGGAGGGGGATGCGTACCTCCGCGTATCTTTGCTCGGTGCTAGAGATGGTATGATATGAGCATGGGGAGTGAGGGGGATGGTAAGGGACGTACAATGCCGTCGCCTTGCTTTACTAGTTGTATCTGTACTTGTGGGTGGGCCATTGTAGGCTGAGAAGGGGGGTATGTGCGGTGAGGGAGGGCGGGGGGGTATGAGAGGGCGAAAGGGGGGAATATATGCTGATGGGGAGTGAGTGTTCATTGAAGGGTATATATAGGGCGGGTTGAGGGATAGACGGAGATGGAGAGAGTTAGTTAGAGTGTGTTGAGGGCGGGTCTAGACTTTGTCCGTGGCGTATCGGGCGACGAAATGTTCTTTACAGGGCCGAGAATACAGAGACCACAAGGGTGCATTAGTGCCATATCATCGGGTCATTATACCACACAGAAGCATTTCATTCACTTTCACTTTCCTTCTCATCTCTCATCCAATCACAGCAATGCTTCACTCTTCAGTACGTTCCTCCCTTCCCCTCCTCCTCATTCTCACATCCCCCAGCTCTCACCCCTTCAACCCTTCTTACAAAAATACCCTTCCTCCGCTCCCTCCCTCATACAGGCATACTCAGACCTCCTCTTCAGTACGTTCTTCCCACACCTGCCTTCCCCTCCTAACACCGAGAAGCACAACACTGGACAGAACTCACACTACTCGACCTTCCCGTGGGAAGAGTGGCCATATCCGGCCATAAACCGACTGAACAAGGTGCCAAACTCGTCCTCCCTTGCTCGCTAGACGAGTCCCTCTCTCTCCACTGGTACGTTCCATCTCCTCCCTCAAAGCAGACACTCACCACTTCAGGCTCTCCCAAGTCTTCGCCGCCCTCGGACCTCAAGTACCCGAGCTCTACCTCGGGATCGTCAGCCCTGACTCCTCAATAGTCTACTACAAGATCTCAAAGGGCATCGTCAAGCCGCCTATGTGATCTATCCATCCGTCCCTGTTCGCATCACAGCATATCTAAGCGGCGTGACGCGGCGCGAAGGGGAGGGGATGGGATCAACACGGACCGAGGAGAGCAAGATACGGCTCTTAGCTGCCGGGATACCTATCTAGGATTAGGATTTGCAGAGCTTGATCTCGCTTTCCTCTTCGCTCGGTAACCTCCGTCCAGGCGAATGACGTCATATCATGTACTCTATGTACAGTACCGTATTGTACGCCGATCGCCGTACTTCCCAGTAGTAGGAAACAAGCACTCCATACGCCCCCAATTCAGATCCACACATCCTAGCTCATCTAGCCGAGCACGTTCCCGTCCTATCCACCACCTTCGGATACGCCGGCCAACAGAACAGAACGTGCCTCTGCCTGTGGTGCCGCGCGGGAGCCGGGGGTTCTCAACCCTTGGGCGAAGCAGATGTTTACATGTCCAGATGGGCGGGGTTCAACAGGATGCATATGCATGCGTCAGAAGAGCGCTACAGAGTCCGATAACAATTGGACTCGGACATTGTGCGGAGGGTAGGCCGGCGCGGATTTCGCAAGGCGGGATTCAGCAAGCCTCGGGGATGTACGAGGGGGGATAGGAATCCGAATCTGCGTATGCGCGACGACGACGATATTAGGCTACGTATGTACACAAGATTGAGAATCCAGAATCCAGAATCCCTGCCAATCCTCTTGCGAACCTCGCGAACCAAGAAGCGACGCAACATTGGAAACACGAGCTGATGACTCTCTCTTCTTGGTGCGTTCACATTCATGTTCACGTTCACGGGGCCAGGGGTGGGTGCAGCTGGACTTGAACTTGTCTCGGAGGGTTGCTGGCGCTCCCTTCACGAAAAGCAGTCAGCTTCAACACACGTCTTGCACCTCCAGTCGCTCCTTTCCCAGCTCTCGCATGCCCTGCACGCTTCCCCACCCCTGTGGTCTGTGTTCGACCCCCGATGCCCGATGCCCGATTCCCAATCCATCGTATTCCGATACCCCCGCAGGTCAATCCCATCCCACTCTGCGTAACGCGTAACACCTACGTGCATATGAAAAACCCTCAGCGTGGCGGCGGGATCAGGCCGCAAGAGAGAGGGAAGGGGGACAGGGAACAGGTCTAATCGGGAGGATCGGCCGAGGATCTCGTACATCAGTTTTCAGTTTTTTATCATCCCGTTCGGAAGGCAATAACGGACTTCCGGACCCGGTGTGCGTGTGAGTAGGGTTTGGTTGGATTGGCGCGATCGATAAGTATCGAGATTATGTGTTTTGAACGAGGGATTACGAGAGGTTTGAGAGCGTTGTGAACGAGGGTGGGAAGGAGCAGACTGGGACTGCTTTTGTCCGATGCTTACCTTATTAGATCCATGCTGTACACAATGAGTTGAGTGATCGTTACTGGAAATAGGGCAATGAACTGAAGGTGAGGTATCATACATACGCAAGAGTTGGTCGATGTCCATTCTTGTGAGAGTTCTATGACAACGTTGACTACGGTAGACTACTTCCGAACTGTGGCAAATTGGTGTGCATCTTGTTAAATGAGTGAACGCCATCAGCCCTCGGGAATACGTCAGTGCAGAGAAGTCTATGGCAGATAGTGTAGGTTTGACTACGCCACCTCTGCAAATTCCCGCGATTATACTCACGAAAGCCTCCATGGTCTATCCTGTCGACTTAGCCTTCCCGACAGAGCGATCACAGGTTTCTGCCGTAACAGTTCTAGCTCGACACCTGTATCACGCATTGGATTGACGTTGATTGGGTTCAATCTGTGCCCGAAAAACTCTCTGTGTTGTTCGGGGATCACGAGCAGCTGCATGTGACGCGATCCTCCTGTTTTGTTGAGAGAGGCCTAGATCATGGCGATCTACGATCGGGTTGCTTGCCAAGAACGAGAGGATCGACTCGGATGTTAAAGCTACAGTATGCTCAACATAACGTCAACTGCGACTGGCACTCCAAAAACATGTCCCGAGCCTGGTGGATCGAGGGAAGTTTCGGTAAAAAGACGTCCCGTGTTGTGTTGGAAATTGGGGTTGACCTGGCGATACGTCACAAATGTTCCATATGCAGGTCAACAATCCGGTTTGTCGTCTTCCGCGCACCTTCTATGCACTTCGGGCATAGCATGCCGTCCAGCCAGCCAGATGCTTGCTTCTGGGATCGCACAGGCGCATGTACCTGGTATCTCCCTTTCTCCCACTTCAGCCTCAGGGCAACGGATGCTCGATTTCCCGTCTGCAAGAAGACATAGAGCATGGCGAACGCGTGCGAAAGGCGCAAAGCTGGGTGAGGAGGACGTGTAGAGTACAGCTGTCCTGGGCTTCTGGCATATCTAATCGGGAAGATCAGCCGAAGATATCTCCATTTCGTACTCCACCTGCAGGAGTTCTCCAGGACGTCGCCGTCCCTCCCTTCGCCCAAGCGTAAGCTCATCTCGCGCATCCTTGTTTTCAGCTGCCCTAAGCAAGGCTGCAACAGAATATGCAATCTTTTACCCGTGTTCTTGGGAGTACCAACCATGGCAGATCAGATATATCTCGAGTTCGGTCCCCGCCATGTCGTGTGACCAGGCGTGTTGTCGACATCGGCGGTGAAAAGACCATTCTGTCCGCGAAGGGGGGCCAAAAGGCCTCAGCATCGACCCTCCCTTCTTCCGCAGGTAAATTGCCCTCCGACCTCCTGGTGGCAGGAGTCCAAGAGCTTCTGACTTCCCGTATGGAATCCGCTTGATGTTGCAAGACCAAGAGGCGAGGAGGGCGCGGCGAACCAGGAGGTGGGGAAAACGATGGCGTCCTGTTTGTTGGGGATAACGAAACCACGAGGACACAGGGCGATCACGGTCGGGCCGGTGTAACCTCGGTGCAGCGTATGGAACGGGCGGACAAAGCCGATATGAAAAAAGTGGATGATCAAGTTACGAAGACCCATATAGACTGCGACACTCACTCTGCGTGAATAATTATGATGTAGCAGGGTGATGATTTCGCACGGGTTAGAGTGGGCTCTCATGGCCTTGCAAATGGGACTGGACAATGGACATCCGGAAGCAGCCGCATACGTGATCGTTACGCCGGTGTACAGCGCGAAACCCGGGCTACATCATCATGATAGCTCAACGCTGGCGCTCCAGCGCCCCAGGTACCTGGAGCTCGCCCGATGTCAAGCGCCCAGCCTCATCTAGGCCATCCAGCGATCTTGATATCCTCTAAATATAGCAAGTAGACTGAATACCAAGAACGCCGCGCCGTTGTAGATGTGTTGTCCACGAAACACCACTAGTAAGAAAGATGACGCCAGAGGGGAGGACAGGAGTTGATGCTTTATCGGTTATCGGGCAAGATGCATCGCAGATACAGCCGTACTTGTATTCGGGGATGGCCACATAGCGAGATCAAGAGAACTGCCAAAGGTCGGCGAGTGTAGTAATCAGGCATGATTGAATTAGCTGAAATCTGGTGGCGGGATCTGCTAGCCTCGGGGATGGGCGGCGTCTTGGTAAGGGTTACTATCCCCACCAAAGGGATATCTGAATAATTATCTCAGGGCGTCGATCAAGTGTTATATTGCCAATAAATAAGCCAATGTATGGCTGAAATCAATGCGTTTCAGAAATTCCGCAAGCACTGTTTGAAATGGGCGCTCCTTTTCTAGTGGCGGTGAAGGCTTTTCCGCTCCAGGAGATTACAATAGGTTGTCAGCAACCACCGTAAAGGCGTTGTACCCGCATTCGATCACTGGACAACGACGCATCTGCTTCAGAACTATTACTGGATGTACAATGGACGACGCCTCTTCTTCTCTATTTCACCAATTACAACTGGGAAACAGCACAAATTGGGGCATTCAATATGGTGGCTTCCCGAACCCAAACCCACCCCTAGCCGCTCCCGTACCAGCTGCCAACAATCTATCCACATTTCACGACCCCGTGAGTTCAGTCTTATCCAACTTTGTTTTCAGCTGACACCGAACTCCAATTTCAGATACTAGACTTCACACAGACCACCTCCCGTCCGTCCATCGTCGAGCTCAAACGCCGTTACCTATCCCAGCTCCCCCCATCTCGTCTCGTTAGCACAATCCTCGACCTCGAGCTGCGTGGGTTACGACATGATCCGTCTTTCGGCGCACACATGTGGCCGCCAGATCTCGAGGCTGCCGTACGAGATATGGAATCTGAGGGTACTGCAAAGCCCGACACTCGTCCTTACAGCCGGATGGTGGGGATTGCGCAAAAAGCCCCTCCACCGAGGATAATAGGGCATGAGGGAGACAGAGAGACATTCCATGCTGGGAGCAATGGACTGCCGAACTATGAGGAGATGATCATCGAGGCGTTGATCGAGATCGGTGACGAGGATGGGCTGCAGCCGAAAGTCATCTTCGATTGGATCGCAGAGTGAGTGACCGTGCGTATATTGGCGCATGTACGACTGTTGACCGGATGCGCGACGGCATGACAGACGGTATCCGATCAACAGCAACTTTCGGCCCTCGGCGCATCAAGCGATCCAAAAGAGCCATAAGCGCGGTCGGCTCGAAAAGACTGGGAACAAGTATCGCCTCAACCCGGACTGGGACGGTAGCGTAAGCTCTTTTACCTCTGCTTCTACCCATTATTGAGTTGATGGCAGCAAATTCTCACCAAGAAGCCCACTCGGCGACCGAAGGCTGCCCCAGATCCCTCTGTCGCCCCTCAACTACCTTCCGCTCCTGCCCCTCCGCCCCTTCCCATGGCAACCTCGATGTCCATCGAAGCCGCGCTCTCCATGCTCGTCAACAGCACCACCCTTCCCGGAGATCAACCAACACCGCCATCGCTGCCGACGCCGACATATACACCGCGGACGGAAGTTAGACAGAGCCTGAACAGCTTGGCTCAACAGTTTGCGGCGAGAAGTCGGAGAGTAAGGATGGATCATGTGCCAGTATAAACGCGCTGTTGGTCGTGGCGTGCTGTATTTTCTTATTGGTCAAGGCGTCAAAGGGTATCGTTACTCTCTCAATCAATGTTTACGAGGACTGGTGTCTACGTCCCGGTTCGGATGCTGTACTCTTCCCCATGTATCAATGTAATGTACAACCCAGTCATTCTCTGGAGCGTGGATGCGATGTTCGAAAGAAGCCAGTAGCATAACGACTTTCGATACCGGTCGATGATGTCGCTCACATCCCCAGATCCTTTTGCCGGCTCTGAAGTCAATCGCAGTCTGTGGTGCTGTTATGAGATAAGAAGTTGTGTTACTTGTATATCATTGTACGACTAGATGTGATAATGTATGTTCGCCCCAAGCTTGATGTAACCCGCCCAAACCTCTAGCATCACATCAGGATGACCCTGGATATATGCGCGTATCTTGGGACACGTCAGCATGCTGGATCTGAAATAGAAAAGGGTACGCACTGTCATCCATCAAGATTGAATGGATCAGAGTCGCACCTTTGCCTTTCTATCGCGCGAGATCTCCGAAACCTACGGAATAACGACCAGGAGGTGAAAGTGTCTCGTGGCGGCACAGAATTGGACCTAACTACAGGCGGTTGTCTGCTTCAAGAGTGGGACCGCTTGCAAGAGAACCAACACCTGCAACACTTTTCACGCATCGCATTTCTGTGGATGGATGCGATTCAGCATCATTCCTGCGACTCGCTATGATTGTGTCTGTCTTCATACATTCTAACATGCAATGCTTCATACTCAGTCACTCCGCTGACTAGGCCGTTTGAAGACTGCGTTGTTGTTAATGAACTCACAGAGCTTGACAAGGTCATTTGTCATCTCCTGGTAACCCTGTCTGTGTTGCTTCACCACCTCATCCAGGCGATCACAGTACTGAACCATCGTCTCTTCAAACTCCTCTAACTCTTTTTTCAACTCTTTGAGACCTTCCTTGAGCTTTTTATCTGTTGTTCGTAGGGTTAATTTGACTGCACTCGTAGAATGAAATGGAACGCTGTGTGCACTGGATTGCACGGTACGCGCCTCTTTGACTCGAACATAATAGCGTTGTGCAGATTGGTATTGTTGTTCCGTCATCTGGACGGTGCTAAACTCCTTGGGATGATCTGCGCGACAATCAGCGTGACAGCTCTGTATGCAAGCAACTCAACATACCCTTAGCTCTGACGATCTTGCGCACGTACTCGAATGCTTTGTTGGCTTCAGCCTGGGTGGTGGCCTCTTCGTCAACGGGTCCAGGTGGATCAAATGCCTCGACCGGGTGTTCCAGCACGATGAGCATTCTGTGGACGAGTGTAAGGTGATGTTGATATCGACGGGTGCGATTTCGCGTTGAACCAAAAAAAAAAACGAGTTGTGATGCCGTCAGGTGAAGAGCGGGGGAGGGCAGGATGGCTTTTACGACGCGACTTCATATGATATAGACGCCTGTTGCGGATGAGAATGGGACCAAATAAGATCGGGGACAGTTTAACATGTGAGACTGTGGTAGGCGCCCGCTTCCCGCGACATTGGACGCGTCCATTAATATTACATACACTTGACGAAACATTGTGTGAATTCACACAATGTTACAATATTGTTTAAGGCGGGGCGGGGCATGATCATCTAAAGGAATACGCTCAACAATGAGAAAAAGACCAAGATGCATGCGTCATGATTGCCATCGTACACGCAGGGCGTATACATAGCCGCATCCCTAGTTCCTAGCATGGGCTCACTGGTGGAAATATGGAGCATCTGCTTCCCCCGTCCCGGGCGCATAGACTGGGTAGTTGTGCAGCATGAAAGGTGTGCTCCCCCAGTTCGATTCCTACTGCAGTGTCAGTTAGGGGTGAGACAACGAGGTAATGGACTGGAAGGCTACACGCATAGATTCCAAGCGTTCTACTGCACCGGGCCACTTTATCTTGAGGTGCATACAACAGCCCTCATAGATTTGGTTAGCACGGCTTACCATTTGTGTCTGAGTTTCGATACACTGATCCATAAGTTCCTGCAGGCGGTTGAAACGCTCGTCTATCATGGTATCAAACCTATGACATACTGCCAGGGCATTCTCGTAGGCTTCCTTAAAGTCCTTTTCTGTTGTTCATCACGTTAATCTGTGCTCATCAAACGCAGTGCTTTGCTCACTGTATTGAACCGCGCGCGCATCTCGAACTCGAATGTAGTAGCTCTGTGCAGACTCGTATTGCTCTTCAGTCAGCTTGACGGGACTGCGCTCCGGATAATCTATGTGATAATTAGCCTGGCAAAGTACTCCGAGTAAAGCAGGCATACCCTTAGCGTCGACGACCTTTCGCGTGTACACGAACGCTCTCTGAGCATCAACTCGGCTCGTGGCCTCTTCATCAACAGGTCCAGGTGGATCAAATGCTTCAACCGGGTGTGCCAGCACAATGAGCATTCTGGCGATGCAGAGTGATGTTGATGTCAACGTGTAGTGGGTTTGCGTGTGGAGGCTGTTCAATAAAACGTGTTGCGATGTCGGTGTGGAGAGGAGCTGGAGGGCAGCGTGGCTTTTATGAGGCGACTACATATGATATAGACTGATGTTGCGGATGAGAATGGGATTATTAATAAGATTTGACACGGAAGACTGGTAGGCGCCCGCTTCCCGCAACTTTGGATGCGTCCACTTTGCGCTCCTGTCGCGTAAGATGGACACAGGAAGGAAGAGAGGGATGTGATGGATGCGGGAGCGCCGGCGAGGGGAGAGCGTGTACTGCTTGCCCTTGCTAGGCGGAGCATGAGCATAGTGTGCGCTGTACGGTGTGTGTCATGCGGTGGGTGCAGAGCAAGAGAGGGTGATGACGGTGTCCACTGCGTATTCTAGTGGATAAGCATTCTCGATTCAGGCATGAAAATGTTGATATCGTTGTGTGAATCATGGGACTTTACAGGTTCAAGCAGTGCTGCGATGAGATGATATGACCGGGAACAATCAACGCGATCCACGCTGAACTATTCGATGTTACATTGCTCCAAATGCCTTGCCAACGAGGACTGCTGATAGACCAGCTTATGCATGCGCGTATCTGTGTGCCAAATAATTCAGTACATGGAGTACGTGAGAGACGGAAGTGTGCGCACAGCAGGCCCTCCGCCACACCTGCTTCAACCCCAATGTAGTCAGCAATGCGCTTCCTTCTATGTGGAAGCTCATCATCTGGGAATGCGGTGAAGTAGTAATGCATCTCCCATATGGCAAGGCATTCAGGCTATGCCTCGGCAATGACATCGATGTTCGTGATTGGGATGAAGCCAGGCTGTATGCTGAATCAGAATGTGGGTAGGCATGAATAAACATTACACACCACGCTCAGAGGATGAATTCCCCTTTGATTGTAAAGCGCGACATACGGTGTTGGAATACCCGTGCCAAGGGTACTGTTGAACTCCTGATATGATATCAGTCAGCATATATGAAGCCATATGATCCCATACCGTAAATGCAAGGCTATGTGTGTGTAGAACTATGGTGCCTATGTCACTTAGAGAGTGTGAAAGTTCACCCCCTTGTAGTTGCGCAAGACCTCGTTCGAGTGGTTGCAGATGCTGCTCATCTCCGGCATTGGTTTCAATTCATCTGAGCTGACAGTGTATTGAGGACCACTGTTGCATCTTGCCCTTCGATATCTGCATCTGTTTCCAACATATACATAAGTGAAAGCTGAAGACATGGACTAGTCACACGCACTCATTTCGCGAATGCGCAGATGCTGAATGCGCAGATAATATTGAAAGACATCATTCCTCTGTGCTTGAGTTGGCTTGATGATGCCTGCTCGGCGATCTTCTATGGGACGTCAGAATTGCACACGCACTTTCCAGAGCAATGGATGACGTACTGGTGCAAGCCAATACAGATGTCACATATGCTCGAGCCCGGTCCTCATGCTCTTTAGAAGCCATTCCGTCTACAGGTCCAAGGGGGTTGCATTGTGCGACAGGGTTGCTGAGCGCGATCCTGGGCGCATTGTGCAAGTGTGGGTTAGGTTTGCGATAGTGTGGGTTTGGTTTACGTAGTGTGGTAGAGAGAGTGAAAGCGAGTGGGACGAGACTGGGTCCATCAAGTTCTTATACGTTGGGTGAGCTGCATGAGAGCCATCGACGTTGCAGAAGAGGTGCGACCCGGTGAAAATCGCGACAAACACCCTGATACCGATGGGACATGCAATTCGTGCCCAACTTCCTGTATGCGCTTTCACTGTCCGCCTTCTGGTGGTCAATTAGAGCAGTCGATATGACAGATGATTTCTACACAAGTTTCTGTACAGTACCAACAAGAGCGGTTAGATTGTATTATCGGAGGGAGGAGGGGGAGCTATCTTGCTCAATATTCCATTGTGGATCGAGCCCATAGACTGGGTAGTTGTGTAAATGAAAGGTGGACTCAGGACTCTTCCCGTCCAGCAAACCCACCAAATTAGTTCCAGCTGAACGTAGACCATTCAATCCTGAGGAATGTCACTACTGAAGAATGTATTTCCCCATTCGAGGCGGCATGTCGACAATCATTGTTCGCCCCATGTGTGCAACACGGTGTAATGATAGGGCATGTTGCTGCGTGTATATTTCTTCACTATCCATCTTCTCATGGCCAATCGAAGCATAGAATATCTTAGTTGCTATGCACGAAGTTCCAGAAGATTGCAATAATGACAATTCACGTTCTATCACAGGGGAGCAACGCATCATCACCTATCGCAGCTTGATAATGTATCGGGTAATAGTTTGGTATCACGTAGGGCATCGGGTAGGGTATCATGAAAGGTTGAACATGACCGTAGTTGAGTTCCTAAGAAAGTGTCAGTTAGGTGCAAGACGAACGGTATGACGAATTGGGAGGATACAGATCTGGATTCCAAGCGCTCTAGCTGATCAGGTGCCATCACTTGGAGCATCGAGCGAAAGAACCCGTACACCCGGTGACATTGATCGTTGAGCTCGTTGCTAGATTGGATGCATTGCTTGAGAACCTCATCCAGGCTGTCCAAACGCGTGTTTATCACATTTTCCAACCAATCAAGTGATTCACAGAGACTTCGGTAGCCTGGGATGGTCTCTAGTTCTGTTGTCCATAACGTTAACCTGTGCTTATCAAATACAACGTCTGCGCACCATGATTAACGGCACGCGCCTCTCTCACTTGCATAGTGTACCTCTGTGCAGACTCGTATTGCTCCTCAGTCAGCTTGACAGGACTGCGGTTCGGATATTCTGCGTGATAATCAACATGACAAAGTACTCCGAGTAAACTAGGCATACCCTTAGCGTCGCGGACCTTTCGCGCGTACTCAGACGCTTCTCAGCATCATCTTTGGTTGCAACCTCTCTCTCTACAGTTCCAGGTGGATCAAATGCCTCGACCGGGTGTTCCAGCACGATGAGCATTCTGGCGATGAATGTAAAGTGAGATTGATACTGGCGGGTGGGTTTTGGTGTGCAGGCTGTTCAACTAACGTGTTGGAAAGTTGGTAGGTGAAAGAGAGGTGGGGGGGAACATGACTTTTATAAGGCGATTATGATCCAAGCGGATGTTGCGGATGAGAATGAGGAGAAGGATTAAACGTCGTCTTAGGTGCCTGCTTCCCGCGATTGATATAGACACGTGACAAACCATTGGGTGAACAAACCCGTGTTGTTTTCATGCCACCTCATATAAACGCGTCCACCATCGACTTTGTGCCTGAGCCTTATGCCTCTCCTACGACCACTTCTCTCCGGTGGTCGTCCATTGTTGGCCTGAAGGTCCTTCGCGTCCGGCAATCAGACCACGAGACTGCTGTTCGATAGGACGTGTGCAATTTTGAGGAATACCGGTGCCGAAGAACAAGGTATTTCCGAAATTACGGCGGGCGAGCCTGCGTGGTGGTATTGATTCAGCTCGAAGATCACGCCAACCGGCGCGTGGAGGTTTCACTCGTCGGCTGGGCGGTAACATGTACTCCAGATGGAGGTTTGGTCATCTGGAGGCGGCGGGAGGCGTCCTAGGGACGAGTGAGAGCCAGCCACCGCAGGTGACGAGAACGTCTCGCTCGCCGTGCCGGAAGGCGGATGGCGTGACTTTGGGCGTCGGACCTCCACCGGCCCGGAACATGCGGAGGCTGGACCACAAGGGATAAGCGCCGAGCTAGGGATGTTCCCGTGCTCTTTCCTTAGAGATGCGCTATAGAAGTTAGAGCATACTATTTACCAGAATGTTCAACAAACTTACCTCGTCGTTGCAAGTCCAGATCATGCCAATCTACCGAAGAGAAATCGAACCCAACGTCGAGCTAGAGGAAAGCAATATTCGCCGCTGACGTCGCTCTGGAGGAAAATCGCGCCGAGGCCTCGTTTCCCCCCATTTCTCCGATCCCCACTTTGCCATCTTAGTTGGATCTCTGGGGCAAACACTTCAAAGCAAGCCTGGGAATGTGCTCCGCTTTGGCTTCCTTCTGCTTGGAGCAAGGTGAGGTGACTGCAGCGGCAGATGGATCAGGATTACACAGTAGCACAGGCTGAGGCTGATCTTACGGTCGTAACAAATACCCCGACACTATCCGCCCCAACATTACCTTCCTAGTCATCCCATCTCCATCTCCATCTCAAGCCCCAACGATCCGCCCCGCATCCGACCCCACACAGCGCATCACATCCCAAACAACAGCTGACCGAGCCAGCCGCTCTCCACAGCTGGCCATCACAGCGCCTAGCTTTCCTTTCCAGATCATCAGACGCAGCCCCGTATTATATTACATTGTTATATTACATGACATCTCATGACCAAATGCCTACCTTGCCTTTCCGAGCCAAATATCAAAAGTTCATATCACGGGGCTTGGAGCAGCGCGGGGCCCACATGCACCAATATGGTGTAGCGCGCACGTTCCAGCTCCTTCGTATCGGCAGGGCAAAGGGCAAACGCCTCGGGCTTCTCCTATTCCCAAAAGCCCTGTCAAACGGAGTGTTGCAGCTATTGTGGCGGCTGCAGAGAACGGGAGTGAGGAGGAAAACAACGTGTTGATCCTCGCCTTGCTCCTCATTGTTTACCTGTTGCTCTCGTTTCAGTCGTGCGTTAGGCGCATGCTATGTCCCGGGATAGGGGGAGAAGTAAACAATAGCCCGTTGATCGATAACTTTACTACTGAGCTAGTGGGACGCGTACGCAGTGACTCAATACACAGGAGTGGCCTCATATTGATCTTTCTCTGTGAAACGCAAGAGGATAAACAGAAGACAGTTGAAATTGATCAATTTCCGCAGTCCAGTATACATCATACAGTGTAATCCACTACAACGCTACAGGCCTCGCCGCCCTACTAAAAAGGGGAAAACGCCAATTATTTGTTATTGACACTATTGTACTGCTCTGTTGATTTTGGTTCTTTGCTTGTCATGGGTCGATGTAGTTGAATGTGATTGATAGATCATGTTGGTTTGGCGGGAAAACAAAGCAGGTAAAAGAGCGGGCGCCGTTGAGGCGCCCATGCCGTAGCGTTGAAGCAAATCGCCGAGGGCGAGGCGGGGCATAATCGTGCAAAGGAATACGCTCGGAAATGAGAAAAAGACAAAGATATATGCGCGTTGCGGGTATCGTCATCGTACCCCCAGGGTGATACAGCCAGCTGCACCCTTGGCTCCAAGCAGAAGCTCACTGCTGGAAATAGAACATCCGCTTCCTCTGTCCATCTGGTGTGGACCGGCTAGGCATCGCTTCGTACGTAGGCACGTTGTACCCGTTCCAGGACCACCACTTGCTTTCTTCCTCCTCTTTCAACGGAAGGATCTTGACACCGGAATCGGGGCTGATATCCTTTCTTCTTGTGGGGCGCGATCGACTCTCGATCGGGGAGAACGGCCGCGGCGTGGATGTCATATCGCTCGATGAACGCGTCATCGAGCGGATGCTCGGTGCCGGTGACATGGGCAGAGCAAGGCCAGCGGCTTCCCTCAGACTGCTGCTTGCGCGGGATGCGCTCCGATCGCGCCGGGACGCGTAAGCGGGCATAATGCTGATTGCGGGCGGGGAGGAAGAGGGGGATGCGGTGGATGCGGGAGCGCGAGTAAATGAGAGGGTGTATTGCTTGCCCTCGGTAGGCGGAGAATGAGCATAGCCTGTGCTGTGCAGTGGCCGCGGGGCAAGGGAGGATGATGATGGTCTCCGCGAACGAGAGTCTGCGTTACGCGTAGGAGGAAGATGACGTGTTGGCTGGTTGAGGGAGGAGAGTGACTCAGCCGATGAACCAGTGTTTGGCTGATCGTGCGATTGCCGTCTCGGTCTGCCCTCGAGGTATGCAAAGTACTCGCTGTTGGTGGAGAACGGTGACCCGTAGCTTCCACCTGCGTCTGAGGAGCTCGAGCTGCCAGAGATCATGATCGGCGAGCTTGGGGGTGCTGGGCGACCAAAGGCGGCATACTTGGCCTCTGTTGGGGAGGATGGGATGGATACACAGAGGGATGACATTGAGTCGCGTAATTGGCATTCGGGGGAACAGTACAGCGGTGTGGGCGCTTGGGATATGTAGGTCCTCGGCTTAGCTTCTTTCTTTGGCGGTGAGGATGTTGAAGGCTGTGCCTGTACTTGGGGAACGGCTGCCGCGCTCTTTGAGCGCAGATGTGCCATGGGGCCCCTTCGTGATCCAGGAGCAGCCTTGATTGTTCCACCTCTTGTCTTGATAGGCTGATTCGTTTGAGGTGATGCGGAAGGGGAAGCGGGGGTGGGAGGAGCTGTGAGGATTTCTGGGGGGATCTGGCGATCGCATACAGGACACCAAGCAGTGTCGAGGAGATCCATTGTGAGTGTAGTGGTGGTGGTGGGGAGAGGAGGGAGGGAGATAATGGTGTGAAGAGGAGGGAGGGAGATAATGGTGTGGAGAGGAGGGAGGGAGATAATGGTGTGGAGAAAAGGTGGGGAGAAAAGGTGGGGAGAAAAGGGGGGGAGTGGCTTGGAGGAAGGGGGTGTAGATATAAGCCCTGTATGTTATCGTGAGCGGTCGTGTTCGTGATTGATGATCTGTTGACCAAGAGGGGACAGAGCAGAGATCGGGCGAACGTGGCCGGGCCTCTGAAGCAATCACGCGCAAGAAGGAAGGAACCGAACAGAGTTTGATGCGGCCAATCAGCCCACGCGAATGCAGCGCTCCTTCCCTCGGTCAAGCCACAGCCGAGGAGGGGAATGAAGCGAATGGAATACATGGAAAGAAACAGAAGATGCAAAAAATAAGCATCTTTCCACTTCATCGGTCTTCAATTCCGTCGTATCACATCCCCGGCATACCGGAGGGACAGAAAAGAGGCACATGGCCACATCACAGCACAACAAACGGTCATACACGGTCTGGATCCTCTGCTTACCTCGGTAATGTTACCCAACACTCGAATCTAATCGGGTTTGTGCCACTAAAGGGCGCGATTGTCCGGGATGCAGGGCGAAGAGTTAAGCAGGGGAGAGTAAAATCGACTTGTCGCGATGGGCGCCTCAACGGGCGAGACGAGCTTGCAACAAGGTTATGTACCGCACGGGGAGGTTAAAGGCAGTGTGACGTCTGATGGGGTTTCGAGCTCTGGGCGCGGATCCGAATTTGGGTTGGGATGCGCGTCACTTGTGGCGGGAAATAACACCGGAGCTTGGAGTGAGTTTCGCCCAAGGTAGAATTAGAGTGATCGTGGTTGTGATCGCTGGTAGAGGGAGGAGGGGCAGAGGATGGAGGGGGCTAAAAAGTTGCATGAAGCGGGGGGATGCCGGGGTTGATAAACCCCTCGTGAGGTGAGGGCCAAAGCACGGTCAAACTGGGGGAATTGCCTTTTTCCGTCTAATGTAAACACACGGGCGATGCGGCGAAACCGGGAGCGACTCACTCGCTCTCCGGGTCCCTCGTCCCGAAGGGGAAGCATTGGGGTCCCTTAGCGTGTGTGTGGTGCCATGCGTTCAGGTGGACTCCTTGCTGCCCGGGCAGGGACGGACCACTCGGCCCATTAGCTCATCCTCCCCCACAACACTTCTCGGGGCCTCGACCCCTTCATACATAAGCCACCCCGCTTCACCGGTCCGTCTCCCCCCATTCCCGCTTACTCCGATCGCCACTCCTCCATCTTGGAAACAATCGAGCCACTTGCGCCACGCCCATTTTTGTCTCCGCTACAACCCGCGGCGGCCCATATGCCTCATCGCGCTCAGGCCATGCGCCCGCCTTGGGAACGTGCGCGCTTCAGCTCTCGGGCAGTGCCCCGGGCGACTGTGCAACCATCTCGAGCGGGCGTAGCACCACACAACAAACGACAATGACAATGCGTCCAACACAAGCAACGCCATGGCGAGTTATGCTACGCGCGTGAGCGTACACAGCTCAATCTGGTACCCGGGGTACCGCGCCAGCGTCTTACCACCTACAAGGGGAAAGGGAAACGGGCTACAATCCCGTGGATCATGCAAGCGCTGAGCATGCATGAGCAACTTTCACCGTACTTGAGCAGGAATGCGTAGCGCTAAAGTCTCGGGCCGCGGAAATCCAGCAGACAGCGCTCAGAACAGCGCTCGTTTTCTCGCCCGTCCTCCACTTTTGGTAACATGTTGTGAAGAAAACACGTCTTTCCCAAGCCTAAACCTCGGCCCTTCGCTTCCCCCATTAATCCGCTTCTTGCTCTCACGTACGCCGTGCTTCTTCCCGAGAAAACGCAGCACCGCCCGTGCTGCGCTGAGCGTTGCCAGCACGCTCTTCTCTCCATTCAAACCCTCTTCGCACGCTGACCGTCTCCTCTTCCCCGTTCTCTCGGGCCCTCACATTAACCTGCAATGCACGTTCAGGTAACGGCACAGGGTATCGTTTCTTCACAACTTTCTCGTCGTCCTCTCAACCAACTTTCACCTGCACAGCTTATTCAGACCCGACTCAGAGGGTCTTCCAACCTTTTTTTCTTGAAACTTCAGCAGGTGCAGACTTTCAGGCGAGCCAAAACTTCGGGACCGACCCCGCCTTCTCACCTCAGAATCTTGTGCAAAAACTCCCATTTCACGGCTCCGGAACGTGCTTCCCGATAGATTTTTTTTTGGCCAGGCCGCCAACGGTCAAATCCCGCCTCACCCTCTCCATGCACAGACCGCTTTACCGGACCGCCGCTTCCCGGAGCGCTGCACCAGCCCAACACCACGCCGGTTTCACCACCAGGCCTCCATACCCTCCCTGCCCCTAATGCACATATCAGGTGTTCGCCGGTGTTTCTACACCTCCAGCACAAAGCGCAGTAGTACACAAGCGATCGGTGTCATTCCCAAATGGGTCATGCGCCTAACCCCGCGGGAACAACCTCGGAAAGACCCTTGCCTCCGGAGACCGGAAGGGCCGGGAGACGGTGCGGGCACACCCGGATCAGCCGGGTGAGATCGGGTGTGGGGGGGAACGCGGGGTGGAATTTTACGCATGCTTCGGGAAGTCGATGGTCAAATTGTTATGGCAAGGCCGAGGAAACAAAAAACCCTAATTTGGTAACTGGGGTGCCAATTCTAAATTGAGTTCGGCCGAGGCAGCTGATTCTGAGTGCAATTCATCAGAGGTGAAACCTTGGGGACGGGGCGTGATGGAGCAACCAGGGAGGTAGCACGGGACCTGATGGAGGTATGGAGGATCAAGACCCCAGCTCCACCGGCAAGTCTTTTACAGAAGAAAAATACGCTCCATCCAACCGGATATCGAGCCTTGTGTTCATCAAAACCTCCAGTTGATCAAACGGCATCGAGAGATGATTCTCTCTGCAACAATTTAGCTGAAAAATATTATTCCATCATATCCGGTGCTTCGGAATGTGGACACGGATAAATTCCGGTCTCGGCCAAGGCTCGGAGATGAGGCTGGCCAGTTTCTCCGTGCCTGGCCCTGCGCCCTGGAATTTTATGTAACGGAAATTTATTTATCCGTTTACAGGGCTTACATCCCTGACCAGGGTTAGAGCCCTGTACATAAGCTTACCTGTCTCTTACTCTTGTTAACCTTTACCCACTCATGCCCTCATGTGCCTGCTACACCTCGGTAACGTTCTCGCGGTTTAAGTCGACTGGGCGCTCATGTTCGGCCCACTCGGTGATCACCGACATCCCAAATCATCAAGTATCGGCTGCTGAGTCCTTATTCCAGCCCAACTTACCTAAGCCCGAAACATAGTCTCATATACCCGAATCAATCTCTCCAAAGGTTGCTTGCACAGCAATTGCAAACTTCCCGAGTGGCAACAGAACCACGGCGATCGCAAGCAGGTGCCGGGGCGACTATCACCACAAGATCGAGAGCGCGGGAGAGAGGTCGAAGAAATGACGAAGGGTGTATCGGAAGGCACGTGCGCTTGCCACATGTGCACCCCTCCGAGACGGTCCGGAACATGCAACCTCGCGCCCACCAGGGCCGCTGATATGCTCTGTTTGCTTGTGCTTGCTTCCTCTGTTGACGGTCTCGGCAACCAGGGACCGCTTGGTCGTTCTGCAGAAACTGTGGAGAGAAACAGCTGAAGTTGCGTCCATATGGCTTATCGATCTCTCCATGCGGTATGTCTATCAGACCCGCCAGCACGGCATCCGGAAGGGTACCGTCCATTGTTTCGACTTTAATTTGCCTGGGGACACGTTTGCTTGATTCGGCCAGCGGGAGGTGCCCTGCAGATCCGCGCGGTGCCTTCGGCTTTGCGCTTCATATAGGAACGGAGTTGATCCTGAACTGATGCGACGTGTTCGCGCGACTCGCCTTGAGGGTGGGTACGCACGTTCCGATGGTAGCACGCATTCCATGTATGGCGCAATGGTAATAACGAATACCATCGCTCAGGATATTGTTATTGAGCAGAGCTTCGTGTTTGAGGTGTTTCGACGGAATGCCGGATGTCAAGGATATGAGCCAATGTCTCGGGTTGGGTAGATCGTTGCACGATGGTTGCAGACACGTGCGAGGAGACTGTCAAGGAGAAGCGCCAGGAGACAGGGGTCTGATTGCAAATGACATCTGTGTCGTGTTCAAGGAACACGTCTCTGATACCAGGCGCACTCTGCAGCTCTGGAGCATGCCTTGCCGGTTGTCCTCTGTTCCTCTCAAAAAAGAGGTGGCTTACCGCTGGGCTAGAGAAGGCCTCGACTCGGCATGAGATTTCGTCGGCATTTGTTAAAGTGTAGTGTGTTTCACGGAACAATACGTCTTATCGACATCCTTATCCGAAGCTGTTGTTCAACGATATCAGCCAGGATCATCTGTGGAGCGCGGGATTGTTCCCTCTTATGACCAAACAATGCCGACGTGTGCGTTTGCTCGGATAGGGTACCGCACCGAGTTACGACATACCTCGGCGCTTCGCTGTCCGTGCTTCCAGGAGCGTTAACAGAACCGTTATCTACACGCGCTCGCCTGCTGAACCGGGTGGCTTCCCGTGAAAGGCGTGAGGATGAACCTCGGGAGGATGACAATCCCGTTTCACTGCTTTATCATCGCAACCTCTTACCATCTGCCTTGTGTCTCTTACCAAGCTACCTTCAAGCTCACTGCATCCTGGTGTTCCTGCCGGCCATGGACGCTCCTAGAATGCGGAACACGCCGGTATCTGCTCTTATTAGGATGCTGCAACGTCAACTAGCGTATACCCAGCAAATTCAGGCCACACATCGTCGGTGATTTAGCCATCTGCGAGCCTCTCTACTAGCCAATTCAGCATGCCGCTGGTCGAGTCATCTTCGTTGCTGTGTGCTGCGAGGGCGTGGCGTCTTCTGAGCACAAATCTTTGCCCGGCAACCTCCATCTGCAACGATGAACTCGGCCCACTCGGGCTGGGTAATTATGGCTTGGTCTAAACTCCGCTACATGTTTGGTGTCGTTCTAGCCAAGAGTCTCTGAAGAGAGACGGACAATGCCGATGCCTGTCTGTGGCACAATGCTCTCTTGTTTTCCACGTTCCAGGGGAACGTGTGCTTGCACTTGACCTGATCCGTACATCGCTTAAGAGCCAACTGTGCCCAATCACTTGCACTGCTTTCTCGCTTTGAAAGCTGCGTCAGACGAAGCTGGGAACATGCCATATTTACACGCGTACCCGAATGGCGTCACTGTCGGTGTGGGAGAACAAGCACACTGGACTGTTACTGTCAATATTGAACCAGGCTGATTATAAAGAACTTGTTTCGCAGTTGCGATGCCTCAAGACCTAGAAGCGGGAATGACAGTACGAACGCCACGATTCGAACGTCCGAGGTAAGACCGCGCTCGCGATCTTGCTTTTGCTTTGTGGGGGAGGAAAACTTGTGTTTCTTCCTGTTGGCGCCTCGTGTTGGGTAATGCGCGTCTTGGTATGGGGAGGTACTGGACTATGTATCTCGTGGCATGCTTGCATGGCGATAGGAACGACGATGCAGATCAGCACATTCACTACCTTGTTGATCCATCCCAGCTTAGCACCGGAGAGGCGGAAAAGAGTCTCAGGCGGTATGCACTGAGGAACTTCTGTTGTCGACAATCGCGTCCGATCTGTCACGACTCTCTCCTTGGCGCTGAGTTACAGGCCTGCCATTGATGCAATGTAGAACCCCGGGCTCTGTATGTTTGAGTTGCGCCTATGTAAATGACAGAAATCAATGCCTCGCCGAGAACTTCGTATCCTGCCCTTGAGTCCTATCCTGGATTCCCAGAAACCTCAGCATCCCGAGGGTCAAGACTCGGTTCCCACGTCAAGTCACTGTCCGAGAGAATGGCCACGCCATTGTCTTTCACATCCCGAATGGAGGCGCCCCATGGGGGCTCGAATCCCTCGGCCATGGAAGGATACACCCCGATAAACGGGAAATACCCGGATTGGACATGTGTCGCAGCAACGTGGGAAGGCAAAGGAGAGGCTTTGAGGACACGAGACGCTCTGCATTGGCCATTCTCCGCTGGGTTTTTCTTTCATATATGACGTGATCCGTCTATGTCAGGTTTTGTTTGAGGTTACACTGTGGGGCGTTGAGACAATGGTGTAATTCATTGTATGCACGACGTTTTCGTCATGTTCAGGCGGCCTGGGATCGCCTGCGGATATCGGAAGGCGCACTGAGACGACTTGAAAGCTGTTGGATCGGTCAGAATACAAGTTGGAAATTGGCGCTGTGGTAGTAACATAATCAGAATAACACTATTAGCGCTAAGGCCCAATGAATGACAGTCTTCCATTCCATTCATTTCAAAGCACGCACCCACTTCTTCCTTTTCACACCTCAAATCTGAGTGGTCACACTATACTTTCTCATCTTTCCCGACGGTCATTTGACATTGTTTTTTGGAAGTGGACAATATCAGGTGAACCGGAGTGAGTCGGAGGGCGAATGGGGGCATGATTGTTGTTAATGGTGGTCCGAGTTGTCCCTGACACAGGAGGCTGGTCGGAGGTCATAGGAAACTTCGCTATATGCGCTCTGTCGCCTTCATCCCGGCGTTCGCCATTGTCATTTCTTGCCCTGTATCAGCAGTTCGCAGCTTCTCTTCTCACCGTCGTCTTCTATTTCACAGCACATACCGACAAAAAGGCACAATGGACCTGTCTATCTCAGCCACCCCAGAACCTCAACCAGCGAAGACTATTCAGATAACCTCACACAATCAATATGTCACCCCGGGAACACTCTCTCCGGTCACCGTAGCACCCACGCCAATGACTCAGTTCCAGGCATGGTTCGAGGCTGCTATCGAAGCAGGCGTCCGCGAGCCAGAAGCGATGTCACTCACGACCGCAGCAACCACGTCATCACGCATCCCAGGCGCCGCTATTCCTTCCACACGCATTGTCCTCCTCAAGCAATCCGATCCGCGTGGATTCGTCTTCTATACAAACTACTCGTCGCGCAAATCAAAGGAGCTGATCGAAAATCCCTACGCCTCATTATGCTTCTATTGGCGTGAGATCCATCGCTCCGTTCGGGTCGTTGGCAAGGTAGAGAAAATAAGCAATGACGAGAGCGACGAATACTTTGGGACCCGACCAAGAGGCAGCCAAATCGGCGCATGGGCTAGTCCGCAGAGCAACGTGGTAAAGGAGGGCGAGTTGGCGGCTCGTGTGAAGCATCTGGAGAGAAAGTTCCCAGACGGGCAACAAGTGCAGCGGCCCGAGGGCTGGGGTGGTTGGAGGGTCGTTCCATTGTGAGCCGCGCATATATGCAGGTATTTTAGTTGTTTATAAACCTACAGCGAGGTCGAGTTCTGGGAAGGAAAGCCAAGCAGACTGCACAATCGTGTGCGCTATCTAGCGAATGACAAGGAAGCAGGAGCTTGGGAAATTGACCGTCTTGCTCCGTAGCCCATGCTTATTGTTTGATGCTTGCTTGTGTTGTCCGTTCCTTCCTAGACCGGTGCATCGATGACTCTCTGCTCTCCCGTAATCATAGCGATGCGCCCCGTTGTTCGCAAATTGGCTAATGAATGAATTCGAAATATTGTATATCAAAATATTGTATAAAAATGTTCCACAGAAGGACCCCTTCCGGATAAAAGTCCAGAGCAAGACGAAGCCGAGGAAGTCAAGGTATTAAAAGGCAATAAGCAAAACTTGTTATATTACAATTGCACCGTTAATTCCCCCTTTCGATAATGATTCAGAAACGGTTCCAATTCCAGGCTCCAAAGGTGGCTCTTGTCAATGCGGTTTGAGTCGTCACCGACCAAGTTTGTAGGTTCATTATAAGCCCATGGTAGCAAGGTTTGTACCTACGCCAGCTATGTGCAAACGAGAACGAAGGACTGAGAGTCATGACCCGAGTCACCTGGGACACATTAAGCGTCGTGATTCGTTGATACCTTGACGCCAGCAGTCCAGTTGCTATCTAGCGTCCCCGATGGCCTGCGGGACATGTCACGCATTTGCTGCATTTGTTTGATTTGTTGCTGGAGATGGCGTTCCGAGAACCTGAGAGTACATTAGCTATTCGATCCGAGTGTGATGGGATAAAGCTACATACTTTCTTGGCATCTCACCGTTCGGTCCTACAGGATCGAACGCGCCCTGTTGTGCTGTGAGAGCATGTGTAAAGTATGTCTTCCGTTCCTCCCTCTTCTCCAGGGTGAGGCAGCTGAAGCTTGCGACCTTGTTACTATCTCGCTCAGCGATTCGCGGGTCGTGCATGAGTCTGGCAAGACCCTGCAGACCGCTGTATAAGCTGCTAGGCTCGCCCGGCCCAGCAGGAGGTGAAGCGAGTTCGGAGATGAAGGTCACGTATAGGGAGTTGACGGTTGGGTAGAAGGGGCGGGGAAAGTAGAGTTGCTCAGGACCGTTCGGGATGATATGTAGCTGTGCACCACCAGATGCGTTTACGAACTGGCGATGAAGGTTTTCGGCATCGGCTCGTGGGCAGACGAAACTGTCGCCCTGCGGTCTAATCAGTTGTGCATACAGCTGGCTCATATGGTGGACTCACGCTGATGATGTTCACAGGCTGCTTGATCATCGCCATCTGTTCCGGTGTCAGGTTAGTCCGCTATGAATCGAGTGATCATGTCAGTAAGTCACGGGCTGGATGAGAGGAATGGGACGCACTTGGAAGACGGTCAAGGTGAAGTCCAGGAAGCGGGCTGTTCGTGCGGGAGGATATTGAGTCTCAACATATTGTGCCCATCGGTCCTGCTGATCAAGGGGCAAGCCCTGCACAACACGATAAGAGTCTATTGCAGGTACGTGAGGGAAGGCGGCGTACCTCGTAGAACGTGTGACCTAACATCTCGTTAATGGCTTCCTCCTGAGTCTCCAGATTCGGGGCAGTGGTGAGCATCTGCACCAGATCCCTCCACGCCTCTGCAACCCACTCCTCCTCCTCTTCTCGTTGGATACTGATGAATCCGAGGCTGAGAATACGATCCGGCCACAGTAGGGCCATTCGTAGAGCAGCATGGATGGACAGAACGCAAGGAGCGAATACGTGTACCGCGGGAAATTGCAGTCGGACAAGACACTTGATCAATAACGCGGCGTCTACCCAGGAATCCCGTAGTTCGCATGGCGAACAGATGGTCTTGCCAGCTGAGCGTAGGTCGAAGGCAATGAGGTTGTACGAGTCAGAGAGTTGGGGGTCGTTGAACTGGTTGATGAGGCCGGAGGAGACGTCAAAGATTGTTCCTGAGTGTTCTCGAATTAGAACATGGGGGAAGAATACATGAAAAGAAGGCGCACCGGGCAACAACAGGACTGTTCTCTTTGACCTGTCCAGTAAGGGAACATCTCCCTGCATGGAAAAGTTGGTTTTGTAGAAGACGGAGATGTCATCCTCGGGGAAATCAAGGTATGGCATCGCTGCGGGGATAGAGACTGATGGCACAATGCGACTTGGTGAATGAAGAGAGAGGGGTGTGAAAGAGGGAAGTGAAAGAGCACGATCTGCTAATAATGCTCGTCAGGTGTTTCGCACCCTCCAGTCTCGCATGCTTCTAAGGGCAAGAAGAGCGAAGAGAAGGGCCAAGGCGGTTATTTCGAAGCGGGACTCCAAGCAGGGCTCGGATGTGTAACCGACCGAGGGTAGAAGGGAGGGCCAGAACCGAACACCATGAGTGTCTGGTGGCCAGTATATAGACTGGAAAGAAGGGGCGGATAGGCTTCCCTCAAGAGTGACTAAGAACGTCAACACATCCCCACCCTTCCCTCTTACAAATGAATAATGCATTCTCTTTTTCCGCAAACACACTCCTTTTCTCCGCTCTCTGGCCACATACACGCTTGACGCGCATCGGACGTCCGACGTCCTTCCGCCGCTTACCACTAGCACATTCCTCCCAGCCATCACGCGAGAAGGCTGGCTGAGAGCACCCGCGACGTACACCTCTTATCCCCTGGACTTGAGACAGGATGGATATCATCATCATCCTGCACTTCTACAATATATAACTCTTCCGCAAGCCATACGAACCGCTTTTTCAGCCTTCTTCCAGATGCTTCCCTGACGACCACACATAGGTGCCTGACCCTTTCCGTTTTAAGATCAATGGCCTCAACACGGCATCCTTCCGTGAGTGCTTATCAAGCCCCTCTCCAAATGCGGTTGCGTTTCTTCCTCCCAGTTCTAGACGCGCTCCTGATTTAATAGACATGCGTAAAGAAGGTCAATTCCGACAATATGTTTCACTCACTTCTTCAGTTAGCGGGCCGCCCATACTGGTTGCTTCTCGCTCCCACGGTGGGGGCATGCAATGATCGAGAGAGAATGTGAGGCCCCGAACCACGTCCAACTAATCCTATCGCCCGAGATTTATGTGAAGAGCATTAGAAACAAAGTTCGACCTCACGCGGCATTTTCTCCCTGCTCTCGATCAATGCGACCAGGGCTGGTGAGTACGTAAAGCAGACAGGCACACAGAGATGTCAAGGAGGAAAATCTTCGTGACGACGGCCACATGCAGTGCGATCTCCTGGGCCGCTCCGGATCGAGTATCGGGCTTGTGGCCATCGTGTCATCGGCACGATTGACCGAGCTGCACGCTTGACACTTAACATTGTATTGGATGATGGTTATGTAGCGCGCGAGAAGAAGAGAAGGTCAAGATTCTGACCCTTCCCGGGCCAGCCACGGGTCTCCGAGGGCTTGTGGCACCCTTTCCCACCTTAAATAATATTCGGCGCGCTTCGCCCATTTTCTCATACAAACGGTCCGGAACCGAGCGGACGCCGCTTTTTCGCGTCTTAATATGAGATTATGGAGCGATGGCTGGGAGCGTGGTTACCACAAATCGGGCAAATATGAGCATGACAATAGATTTTTCCTTGGGACTCTCATTCCACAACGAGATTCGTTCGATAGACTCTCGTCGACCAACATGTGGCCACACATATGATCAACGCAAGTCCTAGAACCAGAGTGGAGGTGAACAAGTCACATCGTCCAACCCGGGAATCATGCCCACCTTCTTCGAAATCGCCGAAGAGCACGGCACTTAAGTGCCATAGCAATGAACGATTTCACTTGTTGGCCGCATGCCCATTCACAGTCTTCCCTAGCTCCTGAAGCAACAAGTTGGTTGTCGGTTGGGGTTTGATCGTGTTCTCCCGAGCTTGCTTATAGTGATCGGAGAGAAGGAACGCCAGATCTAAACATCATTTTATCAGCCCTTTCTATTTCCGTTGCAGCTAGAAACGACGCACCAAGCGCTTGTTCGAAGTTCAACCGCGGGTCGCAGTAGCTCTGGTATCTTAGCTCAAGTTCCTCCTCGCCAAGCTGCATGCTCCCGCCGAGACACTCGGTCACAGAAAACCCTTGCTCGTTAAGCTCGCCAGTGAACTCCAAGCTTACTCCACCCAACCGCGAATTTTCCTTCGCATGGAGCGCCAACGTGGAGGTTACTTCGGTGATGATTGAGCTGAAGTGACGTGTCTTGTAGCCGGTCGACGATGTATGCGTATTGCCGTGCATGGGATCGCAAACCCAGATAACTGGGTGTCCACATGCCCGAATTGCTGCGATATGGCCGGGAAGATGCGTCTCCACTTTGCCGGCGCCATATCGGGTAATCAATGTCACCTTTCCGTGTTCCTTGTCCGGGTTTACAACTATATCGAGTCATTAGCAAAACAGGGACACAGTATTCGTCGAAGATTTACTATCGAGGAGACGAGCAAGTTCGTCATCTTTCATAGATGGGCCGACCTTGATCCCAATGGGATTGCGAATGCCCCTGAAATATTCGACATGAGCATGAGTAAGCTGCCGAGTCCTATCCCCAATCCAGAGGAAATGGGCTGAGGTGTTGTAGTATGTCTTCGGTGGGAGAGGCTTTTTTGCATCGGTGTGGGACAGTGTGCCAGCGGGGATGGGCAGAAAACGTGTCATCGCCTCTTCAAAATCCAGCATCAAGCCCTCGTGACTGTGCTATGGTCAGGCTTATGTCGAGATACGAGGGGGTCAAAACGCACCTAGAGTAGAAATCCACCTCACCCAAGACACCGCGGCCGCCTCCCTGGACATATCCGCCCTCGTCCACGCCCCCAATTGCACCAACAGTCTGTGTGAAAGCTAGAGCATCGGACAGGGCGTTGGTGATGTTCTCAAATTCGCATCTGTCGATTGATGAGCGATCACTCATGGGTGAAATCGAACTTTCAAACAAACTTTAGGGTTGGGGAACGCACATGTTTTAAGGACCAAGTTCGCGGATGATGCAAGGAGGCGAAGTCCGATGTGAGGAGGGCGCGAACGTAGTTGAGGGTTGTCGTCGAATAAAAGTAGGCGCTACAAAAGAGTTGAGCGACACGGAACATGATGTCTTCACATACATACCTCAACATGCGCTGCGGATCTGGCTCCCGGTCATCAGGCGAGATTCCATTGACATTGTCACCGCTGAGACGTGGCCCCAGTCAGGCGTCGTCAATACAGAACACTGCAACATGCTCACCGAAAACTCAACACAGTCTTCCCATCCACGACCTCTGTACTGCTACTTCTCGGCTTCGCATATTGACCAGCTATGCGACCAATGCGAACTATAGGCACGCGGGCACCCCACAACAGCACCAGGGAGAAGGACAGTATGAGTCCGATTTTGTTGGTGATGTTCCTCTTGATAATAGTCAGTACGTGCACGTTGACAAGGCGGCCTATACCGCGTACATGTGTGCATGCCTCAAAGGACTCCGCACAGTCACCGGCGTGGAGAATGAAACCCTGCCCGGACTCGACTCGCGAAAGGTGATATCGCAGACGTTCAATCTGCAAATTCTTGAGCCTCCTATCAAGGTATTCACTATTGATATGGACACACCTCTGCCGGAGTTACTAGAGGTGGAAGGTGCTTGATCTGGTCCGTGACGCGAGCCAGATGCTGCTTGTCGGTGTACTTGACGTCCTATGGCATGGGTCAGAGTCTGCAACGTGGCATGACCATGCTTGACCAACCTGTGCAATAGGTTTTATCCTCCATGAGGACGGCGACCAGTCTTCAGCCATGTTGTGCAGTTTCCGCTATACCAGCAGAATAAGAGGTGCACTAGTGTTGGGCACTATTTCAAGCCATCTTTGATGCACTGGTCAAGTTGTAATTTTCGGACCCTTTGATGACTTCCGAGTCACGTTCGTTCGACATTCCACCAATTGAAGTCCGCGGCTCAACACCTTCTCATCTGAAAGAACTGGGAAAATCAAGCTGCCTAGTTATAGAAATATTGGGATTATACGGTGCTCGGCCATAACGCTATCATTCTATACTCTTAAAAATTGTTACCACTCGCGGAGCTGACTCTGATCTCCTTTCTCTGGAATTACCTGCAGCATCACTTCTCGTTGGCTTTCATCCCACGGACCCTCCCATAATTGACTTTGCGGTAACTGCGAGCTGGGGGCGGTGACAAATGTATCGTCCACAGCTTGCGATAACTGACTTTGATCTCCCCCATAGTACCAGTCTCCAACTGCAGTCTGCTGACTCTCGCTAAATTCGTTATGACGTTGATTGACAGGCAGAAACTGCTCATCCGGTAAGGGTTGTAAGGAAGATGGATTAGAGAGTGAATTCTACGAAGCTGATGAGCATCATAGAATGTACACAGTGCACAACCTACGTGAGAGCCTTGCCGTACATGATGAGCGAGGAATTCCCAAGGCTGAGATCTTTCAGGCGAGGCAATTAATCGTGATAAGGCCATGGACGCTGTCGGACGCTCTTCTGGATGCGTGGCGTAGCACTCTTCTATGAGCCTCATAAGTGTGCGACTGGCTTGGAAGTTGCACCGGAAGTGGTCTATCGGAGGAGGGCGCACATTTTGCATCAACACCGCCATCATGACATTGCGGGTGAGCAAGTTATAAAAGGGTCGATTTCCTGAGACGAGCTGGAGCATATGAGAAGAAGCACGCAGAAATTTGATAGACTAATAAAACCTCGTAAATAGTCATTCCGAACGACCACATGTCGCTGGCAGGAGTGCGTGCGGTACGGATATCCAGTGCAAAGCGGGACGGGTCCATACGCTCTGGAGACATCCACGGCAGCGATCCAGCATATAACATACTGGTTATTCCGGGATCAATATCTTCCACTACAGTTGAAAGACCGAAATCCGCAAGTAGGGCATTTCCATCATCGGATACGAGGACATTGTTCTGTTACTCCGCATGTCAAGAGTGCACTCTGTCGAGAACGGGGTAACTCACGCCTTTAATATCACCATGAACCACTGGAGGAGTTTGATTATGCAAATATTCTAGGCCATAAGCGATTCCTAGGATCTGAAGGATTATGGGTGAGGGAAGCCTCGGAGTCGCCCGGGGAAAGTACCAAGTTCAACACAAGATCATGTCCTTCATCATTGTCCTGCCAATTCTGCTCCAGATACGATATTGCAGTACCATTACGTTGCCAAGGAGAAACCATGCAGAGTTCTTCGACTCCCCATTTGGTGCTGATGCCAAGGAGAGGAAGCAAGTTATCATGGCGCAGTTGGGACCATATCCGGATTTCGCTGCGAAGCCGCTTTCCTCGCGCATCAGCAAGGTGGTCATGATGCGTCTCGTGTATGCTATACCTTTAAGAGTTTGTCAATTGGCGCTACATGTCGCCGCAAGATTTTGAGTGCTACAGTCTGCGTTTGTCCTTTGTCGCACAGAGTTCCCCGCCAGACATCTGCGAAGGCACCCCCACCGACCGCGTCCAGTTTATCGACTCGGTCCTGAAGATCTAAAGTGTATTCCAGAAGCGGCGACAACAATGGCCGCAATCCAGTATCATCCATAGTATCAAGAATTATCAAGAAAAAGAGGACGTGTCATCTATGGCATGGTTGCGAGGTCGTTGCCATGAGGCAAAGGTGGTGTTATCACGTGATTTGATATGCGGGACAACCTTGGAAGGTGAGCCCTGACAGCGGCCGTTTTTTTCAATTTCGTTCTCTGTTCAATCAGCGCATGCGACTGTCTCCTCTCTCCTCTTCTCATGCCTGTGCTGAGTTAGCTCGCTTTATTCGACGAACAATGGACAACAATGGACAACAAAGAAGAGCATCTTTGGATGCAATGGCTGCATTCTCGGCCCAGCTTGCAAATACAGACGATCAATACAACCCATCTCAGCCCGAGCTCCACTCCCTGCATCAACGGCCGCACCAACAGGACTACCCAACAACAGACTCGCGAACACCAACGCCATGGATGAACAAACAGTGGTTAGCTTCAACTCTACAACAGGTGGCACCTCTCTTGAATTCGATGACACAACCCGGCTCGGCCCTGGATCCCCCCGCCGCGCGCGCAGGAGAGCGATCGCCTGAGCTGGGTCCAGAAATGCATCCAGGTTATCTCTCGTCGAGTCATGTCCCGACACGCTCCAGTCGCCCCACTGAGCCGATGTCTTGGAGACCCCCTGAGAAACAAACAATGCCTTCTCCAGAATATCTAGCACGGAGCTCCGAGCCTTCTCACCCGGAGGCTAGTCCATCCCAACCTCATCTCCTGGTGCTCGACTTGAATGGTACTCTTCTTGTGCGTTTATCAAGATCCAATCATGGGGCCCGGCGTATCGTCCGACCACGTCCCTATCTCCGCGCATTTCTTCGCTATCTGTTTGATCCTGATCCTGAGCAGCATGCGTCATTATGGCAGGTGATGGTTTGGAGTTCGGCGCAACCACAAAATGTGCACGACATGGTATATCACGCTTTTGGAGCGTATAAGGAGAGGTTGACTGCTGTGTGGGCGAGGGACACGTTGGATCTATCGGCGAATGAATACAGTACGCTCTTGCCCTTTCTCGTCCTTCGAGGTTGGCCCTGAACTTCTATAGACCGCAAAGTCCAGACCACCAAAGGTACGTCCCCAGCTGAGCGGAGAGACGTTTCTGAACAGTTCGGTATAGATCTTGCCAAAGTATGGAGAAGCGTACCCAGTGAAGAGCAGCCCCTGTATTCCCAGCTGAACACTATTCTCCTCGACGATTCACCTCTCAAAGGCGCGTTAACTCAGATTGCACGACAAGTTGCATCTCATAACGTCCTTACAGCTCACCTGCAACCGCACAATCATTTGCCATTAATCGAATACACTGTCGATCTTCTCAGGCGTGACGAGGCTGTACGCGAGACCTTACGCGCAAACAAGCGCCCGAACTCGAGACCTGATACACAGCTCCTGGCCGTGGTTGGTATATTGGATGCGATCGCTCACAATTCTTCTGCCTGTGGGTGGATTCATAATGGTGGCTTATGGTCCGGGCGAGAACATTCAAAGCAAAAGAGGACTTCGGCAGCAAAATCAGAGGCTCTAAAGGCAAAACTGCAAGCTGAGCTACAGCATGCTGCGGAAAGAGAGCTTGCTACGGGAACATCATCTCTATCATCTAGTGCTGCTACTGTAGATTCAAGGAAACGTGAAGATGAGTTGCGTGAACAGTTGCGCATGTCTTTGCTCAAGAAGCATGACGATGCTTCTAACTGTTCCACTCCACCATTGACGGTACGTCTGAATTTTGCGCATTTCCCTTTCAATTTTGTGACTGGTTTTCAGGAAGCCAAGGACGATGGTAATTCAGATAAGGAAGTCGAAGATTTGCTTGACCTTTCGGCAGACGAGGGAACCGGAACTGGTGACCCTATTCCTGGCAACTCGTCAACTGTCTGGTATGAAGATCCCGCGAACCTTGAATACTGGGTTGAGAAAGGTATTGAGGTACTCACCCGAAGGGGTATTGACATACTTCCTGATGGTGGAGAGAATGATTCGAACATTCTCCCTGTCTCTGAGCTATCTGGTATGGCCTCTTCCATTCGCCAGGATAATTGGGTCGCGCCATCTCAGTCACAACCACTTGTTCTTACCGATACTGTAAGATGTTCCGAGTTTTTCTCGTCCATTCTCTGATCGATCTGTTACATACAGCCTCCTATCGATGGAAGTATCGAAGTGATACCAGACACAGTGGCCCTCTCTTCTATCCTGCAACATATCTCTGCATCCAATACTACACAGCCGTCTGAGCAAGGCATCGAGATTCCTCTCATTGCGGGTGTGGACACTCCGCCTCCGGAGAACTCGGCTCAGTCATCGATACCCAAAAGCACCTACCCGCGAAATGACTACGGTCAAGGCCGTGGACGTCGAGGGCGATATGGACAGAATCGCAGCGGGCCTTACAACCCTCCTCGCGGACGGGGTACGCATTATGGCAAGCGACCGGGCGATTCAACCACCTACCGCGACCCACCTCGGAGCGAGCGGAGCAGATATGACCGAGACCGAGATCATGAAATCCCCCAACACCGACCGTTCACTGAGCGGAGCTACGGACGCTCGGACTACGACGAGCATTGGCGTTCTGGACAGGCAAGACACGATGCAGAGCATGCTCATTACTCTAGGTCCGCACCAGACTACTACAATTATCCGGCGCCTCGAGTGGACGACTTTGGCAGGGACATCCCCCGTCCGTATGAGTCGCCTGTAGGCGAATCTCGCTCCTCTGCTGTGAGGTATCGTTCCCCTGAGGCATTCGACGAGACCCTACCGTATGTGAATGGCTATGATCCTCAGGATCCCTTCTGGCAGCCTCCTCTGGAGAGCCGCGATCCATCATATTATTGACGAGTTTCGACGATGCTCTGAGAACATGGTGCCTCCCCTTCAAACCCCCCCTTCAATATCATCTGGTGTACCTTTAGTATTAGTGTGCCGGGTTTGTGTTTATATTATCTTATTTAAATGTGATGCGATGCCGTTTCTGCGACTTTCCATGCACTGTCAGGGTCGGTGTCGTGTCCGCCACTTCCACATCAACTGCATCCAGGGCGCTGACCTCTTACTCTTCATCAAAATCGATGCTTTACTTACAGACACACTGTTGCTAACTGTCGACCAAGGTATTCAATGATGCCTAGATGTCTCTGTCGTCGAGCGCTTCAGCTACTCCTCACCGTCACCCTTTGCGTGTACGTCACACGAGCTGCCGAGCCTGAACAGGCATGGGACACAGCAAAAAATAGGGGAACGGCTGTCCCCCAGATGAAAGAAGCTGCAGTGAGCTAGATCCAGCGGGATGAGGCGAGAAAGACTGATCGTATCACAGGAACATGATATCGACGATGCAGGACCTGTTGACGAAGGTGAGCTCATCTGGGCCAATTCGTACTTTGCTCAGTCCTCCCAGGCACTCGAGCATACCACGCTGCGCTTCAGGCGTTGAGCCCTTTATATTCGAGCGATGAAGCAGAGATGCTGGCTTCGCAACAGAGCATCTCGTTCCTACGCTCATTTATATCTAGACGAGCCGGGCCAGTCGATTTCATGTTGCGAATATTGTCCAATCTTCATATACCTGGTTTGGCTGGTTCGAGGAGCGCGCCAAAAGGGGAGATTCGGGGAAGAGGCGCTAAAGTGCTAGATCTTCTGAGTTATGCTGTAGAGCAGGGGAATATGGACGCCTTGGCCATGTTAGGAGAAGTGTCCATGGTAAGGCTCAACTTCTCGCTGACCATTTGTACTGCTAAGTCTGAATGCAGTTCCCCCCGACCTCTATACCCATGAACTTGACCCGGGCTTTCGAAGCATATACGACGCATGCAACATTAACCGGGAGTCCATTTTCCCAATCCCTGCTAGGGTTCTTCTACGCTACGGGATATGGAGGGGTTGTTGAAGTTGACCAGGCGAAAGCGTTGCTCTATTATACTTTTGCGGCTGTCGGAGGGGATCAAACAGCCGAGATGGCGCTTGGGTATCGACATTGGGCGGGAATCGGCGTGCCAGAAGACTGTATGACCGCGCTTGGATGGTACGAGAGCGCGGCAGAAAGAGGTGGGTCAACTCAAAGGGCTAGCTATAATCGCACTCACCTCTGTTCAGCGATGGCGCAGTTTTTAAGTGGCCCACCAGGTGGAAGGACACTTCTCTTATATCCAACTCGTCTATCGGACTTGATTGGAGGTGTCTATGGGCCTGGATCGAGCGTTGCATCTACGGGGTGGAACGCAAATCGTGCTGCCGTCCGTGCCGGGCAGGCGCGAGCTGCCGGAGAGACGTGGCAGGATATTTTGGAGTTCTATCAGGTAAACATATTGTCCTTGTCCACTAAACGTTTAATGATGTTTATCAGTATCATACGGATCAAGGCGAACTGGAATATACCCTCAGACTGGGCAAGATTTACTACCACGGTACCTTGTATATTCCATCGGCCGGTTCATCTGCCGGCGGGGACGCCGTCGGTGCTGTCCGGCAAGATTACAGAAGGGCTGCCCAGTACTTTGTCCGAATCGCAAGGCATATGTGGCCAAGGGATAGCCTGAAGGCACCTCTGGCAAATCTCCGGGAGCTGGATGAACGATCCACAATCCTGGTGGCTCAAGCCTGTGGATACCTCGGACGCCTTTACATGAGAGGAGAAGGTGTTAGGCAAGACGCAAAAATTGCAAACATGTGGTTCGAACGAGGCGCAGAATACGGCGATCGAGAGTGCCACAATGGACTAGGTATCATCCATAAGGAGGGACTATTAGGTTCTAAGGATGATGCTAAAGCCATCCACTACTTCGCGGGCGCCTCTGGTGCGGATCTGGCTGAAGCGCAAGTTCAGTTGGGCCGGTATCACCTGCGTACGTTCCAGCCAACTCTGTTCTTGGTTAGAGTTTTCACATTATTTAGTGAATGGTGACAGCGTGTCTGCGACTCAATTCTTCGATATTGCATTGCGACATGGTTCTCCCTTCGAGGCTTACTATTACCTAGCTCACATTCACGCGAGTATGGCTAGGGCAGTGAGCCTAGGCACAACCAGCTCCGGATCTTGTGCGGTTGCCTTATCGTGGTTCAAGATCGTGGCTGAACGAGGTGCATGGGACAATGATTGGATGGGCGAAGCAGAGAAGCGATGGAATACGGGACACGAGCAGGACAGAAAAATTGCAATGCTGTATTGGGCCGTTGCGGCGGAAGCTGGGCACGAGATCGCACAAAACAATATTGCCTATCTGTTGGATAAAGGTATTTCTGTCGTTCTCCTTGCCTGTAAATCGGCTGATGTCATTCTAGGAGAAGACTACGGAATGACGAACCACACTTCCAGTTCTGCTCTCTTGTACTGGACTCGTTCGGCAGCTCAGAATAATATCGACGCGCTCGTTAAGGTTGGCGACTACTACTATCATGGTCTCGGCATAGCCGATGCTCTCATACCTGAACACCTGGAGAAAGCAGCTGGCTACTATCAAAGTGCTGTCGAGTCTCAGTTGAGCGCTCTTGCGATGTGGAATTTGGGGTGGATGTACGAGAACGGCTTGGGAATTCCACAAGACTTTCATTTGGCAAAGCGCTACTACGACTTAGCTATGGAAACGAACCCCGGAGGTTACCTCCCTGTCACACTCTCCTTGATCAAGCTCTACGCTCGCAGCATCTGGTACACGATTTCGGGCGGCAAAAATCATGGTCTTTCGTTGTGGGATCTTCGGGATGCAACAGATGAGCATTGGTATCTCGGAAAGTCCAAGGAAGATGCGAAGAAGGCACGGAGGAACTCAATCGACGGAGGAATTGGAGAGCGTGTCGGTGAAGATGCCGTTCAATGGGCACGCGACAGACGCGACAGAGATGAGCAGGGCGATTTCGGTCCAGAGGATCATCTTTTCTCTGGAGAGGGCGAAGATGGCGAGAGCGTAGAATTCGTCGAAACTCTGCTCCTGTTGATTCTATGCGGTCTACTTGCGTGGTTGATTTATGTTCGAACACAGTGGGCCACGCGCAGGGCGGTGGAGGAGAGACGACGGCGGGATGCGGCCGGCCAGCCGGACGGACAAGCTCCGAATCATAGGAACGCGGTGGGTCGAGGCAACGCAGGGCTGCGTGATGTTTTTCTATAGCATTGAGCGACATTGTCGGGTATAATGCATGGTCTTCCCAGGTAGAGGCAGATGCAATCAAAAACATCAACTTTGAACGGACGGGTACTTGGAAAGTACCGTCGTATATACGCTACAATACATGGCATGAAACACGAAAATACAAATGCAGCCCCTATAATAACACAAACCCAGAGAAAGAGAGAGGATTCGGAAGGTTAGAGTAAGCCAAACACCGGAGTGGTGAACTGCGTCTCGTTCTCTTGCCTCACACTTCGGTCTCAGCAGTCTTGATGATATCCTGGATAACGACCTTCTCGTTACTCTTTTCTTTGCGAAGCCTGCTTTCTTCCGCCGAGTTCTGACGGCGAACTGCATCAAGTACTTTGCGTTGAGGAGTCGAGAAAGGCGATTTGCTAGACTTTGCGCGGGCGAATAGTGAGGCGCTCGAAGCTGAGGGTGTGAGCGGATTGGGGGTAGTAGGGGAGGAAGTCGCCCTACTTGGGGTGAGCGAAGGTGTGGCCGGCACCTGCTCTTCCTTCGGCGTTTTGGGCGGTGATCGGCTCTTGCTCCCCAAGCTGAGCCAAGAAGGCAAATCAACTTTGACACGTAAGCCCTTTGGGTTGTCGCGCATGGGCGGATCATCGTTAAGGGATATGTGAGTAGTTGCAGGTACAGCGTGGCTTTGTTGGGAGTCGCCATAAGTGCTCCCGGCGCCCCAGAGGGAGCTGGACGACGAGCTGCTCGCTCCACTGGGGGGACGCGTAGAGAACCTCCGCTCTAAGCTGGACTTAAACGAGTTCGATCCACCACTGACACTTGGTCGATGATGTACAGCTTCACTGCGTGCACGCCGCAAGCCAGATCCTCGAGAACCAGTGCGTTCATGGGATGGCCTGACCGGTTCAATGATGCCCAGTCCCTGGGGTACGCTCCCTATTGGACGAAGATCGTCCATAGAGAGAGATGACGGTAGTCTAGGACGAGGGGAAGTCGGTGAGGTGCGAGGGGGAGTTTCGGGCGGAGAAGACCTCTTTGCACTTCTCGGAGGCCGCGGGGGTGCGGGTCCAGTTGGTGCGAGGACAGGTACAACAGGGGCACGGACGGATGTAGACTGTTCAGCCACCTCGAGCAACTCAGTGGCCTCCGGAATTTGAGGCATAGAGGCAGCCGTTGTCGATGCTAGCGCTCGACTGCTGCCATCCGTAGGCTCCGAACCACGGGAACCGTTCGTATGTCCACCGCTCCCGCCGGAAGGCGGTAAGGCTGACGGCGGCATCTGCAAATCTTTCGCGTTTGACATACCCCGCGGCCTAGGGGGTGCCTTCTCCGGATGGTCGCTGTCACCACTCGGTCCATCAGTGCTGGGCTCGTGCCTATCAGGTCGTGTCCGCGGGCCGCGGATGCCATTCTTCCCCTTCACAATGTCAGCCGTAATACTAGAAAGGAAATGATAAAAACGTACCATAACCACTTTAAGCGACCGGATCTGCAGGCTCTGAACATTGCAAACCGTTGCCATCTCGTACACAGAAACCGCGTTGTAATGATTCAACTTCTCATGCATGGAATGGATGACGATCTTCTGCAGGTGTGGGAGCTCGTATATTTGACTGAGGACGAGAAGGGCGTTAAGTACGGGTGGTGCATGCTGGAGAGGGGTGATGAGAGAGTACGTGTACAGATATTGGACAAAGGCGAGTGCGATGGGATACGGCTCGGGCATAAGCAAACGTCTTGGTGTGAGGCGGGGATCTGCCTTGGGCAGAGGAGGCCCTCCACCAAATCCAGGTCCCTGGACAGATAACTGTTCTGTCTCTGGGGTGAGCTCGATGAATTCAGGCATTTCGATCGGATAGCTTGGGTCGATCTGCTCAGGCTTCGCTTCGAGGAGCTGGGTAACGCGGCGGAGAAAAGCACGTCGTTGTTCACGGAACCACGGCCAGCGCTGATCGAGAATGCGCCGAGAGCAGTGGATCTTGCGCCCGTCGTCACACACGATTTCGAAGTCCGAGAGAATCTCTTCTTCCAGCGCAGCGAGGCCGAGCTCGCTTTCACGCAAGCCGATGGTCAGTGACGGAGGCTGGTAGATCCCACATGCTTCGAGATCAACAAAGGCGACGTGTGTCCAACTCAGGAGGCGGCGTTGGTAATCCTCCACCAGGTTTCCGGTGCGATTACCGAAGATGAGGAACTTTGCACCGTTTGACCACAGCATGCCACGCGACCAGGAGCCAACGGAGAGGGGGTTTCCGCAATCTATTCTTTGCCAAGTGCGTGTCCGGAGATCGAGAGACCAGAGGGAGAAGGAGTTATAGGTGTGCGCGAGGTAGGTACCGCAGAGCAAGAGATGGGTGCCGATGATGGCACCGGTGGGAAATCGCAGACCAGGAGGCAGGGACGGGCTGTTCGCGAACGTCTCTGTCTCATCCGTGAAGGTAAGAGGATTGGGTTCCTCGGGTGCAGGGGTAGGTTGCATAACCACGAGCTCGCGGCTGACATCCATGAAGTTGTAGTTTGAGTAGACGTAGATGCCGTTCGGCTGATCGGGTTTCGGAACTTCAGAGTAGGTGGGATGTTGGAGCGAATTCTTCTCCGTGCCTCCTTTTCTCTTTCCAAACCCTTCCATTTCTTTATCCACACTCCCTGGAGGTGTAATGACGACTTTCTGCGTTGCACACACCGCGACGCTTCTGTACGTTCCGCAATGTGTGGTGCACTCCTGTTTTGCGACCCACATTCGATGCTTGAGGTCGTACACGTGCACGTTATCGAGCCAATCGTTCTTTGGCGGACCATGACCACCAATAATGTATAGTCTATCGCCAGCGACGCCGGAGAGATGGGCATATCGGGGGAGGGGAACGTGCTCTGGGTTTTCGGTGACGGGAGGGGAAGGGTTTGGGAGCCATCGACGCTCGGCGATATTGAAAAGGTGGACATCGTTTAGCACGGTGACGTTGGGCACTTCGCCTGGTTGGGGTGCTGCTTGTATTGTCCCTTCTGGCGCATCGGTCATCCCTCCGAAAATGACGATATGTCCATTCCATACGTCCGCAGAATGGAAGTATCGTGGTTGGGGTACGTGCGGGTCGTCCTCTGTCGCGATGGGGATCTTCTCCCATGTAAGCTCCTTGATATCGAACACGTACATGTCTGAAAGCATGCGACGCTGAGCAACGAGCCTTCCACCAAAGAGAAACATGTGGTCGTCGTGTATTGTTGTTGACGGACCCGCAGTCTGTGGTGGTACCTCACCCCTCGACTTTCTTACGAGGGTTGTGAGATCTGATACTGGGAACATCGAGATATGAAAGAGAGAAAGATGATGATGGTAGTCGATAGAGAGGAGATGGTGGTGGTGAAGAGAGAAGAGAGTCTAGAGATGATAAGGAGTGAAATGAGTTTGATTGATGGAGAGTAACGTGTCAGATGGTGAGCAAAGGGGGTAACCCCTCAAGGGCATTTCTCAATTAATCCGTAACTCCGTCACCCCCGTTCTGCTCCCGAATTCGTCAGCCACACACTTTGTATTCTCTTTTCGGACCCTCGCTTCCCAATAGAACACACCCTCTCTCTCTCTTTCATCACGTAGCTGTCTAAATAATAATTATAACACGTTATTGCCTCTTGGTTTACACACGATCTCCGTTCTGTTGTCTGGAATTCACCCTCGCTTCCCCCTCCAACCGAACAACAACCTTCTGGTTATCCCTTACCACCATACGTGCAGGGTGGCTACGACACATCTATTCTCGCAGACTCCCAATACAACCAACTTCGGTAATTCATCTCCTATCTGGAATAAAACATCACGCTCGCCCGCCCTCTTCCTCCTGCCACTTCTTCCATTCCTCGTGCATCTTCTTCTGCTCGTCCCACCGCTTCTTATTCGTCTTGACCTTATTCTTGCTCAACTCCTGTCCCTCCCCTTCCGTTAACGGCAGGCCCTCCTCATCCCAAGATCCATACGTCCCTTCAGGCACGTGAGGAGGCTTGAACATCTCGTTCGGGGCAAGTCGGCCGCGCTCCAGTTTCGCAATTCGTTGCTGACGCTGGGCCTCTTGTTGTGCCGCCTTTGCTCGCTTCTTCTCCGCTGCAGCCGCCGCCTTTTCATCACGTGCCCGCATCAGTATCTCGGGATTCACCAGTTTCACTAGGGCTCGATCTCCCTCTTGATCATCTAGTGCCACACCGAGCGGGACCAGGTCCTCATCTCGTAACTTGTCGCACAATGTGAGGAAGTCTTTGGGTGTACCGTGTCCGATGGCCGTTTTCCGCACGTCATCCCGGAATGTGGATAAAACGCGTAAGTATGGCATCAACAGAGAGTCACGCTGTACATAACCCTTCAGTAAGTCTCAACCAAAAGACGTTCGACTTACGTCCACATTATCAACCTCCCCGGTTGCAGCCTCGCCCCAACCAATCCCTCCCCCTGGGCCCGCTTGATTGCCCTCGCCGAGACCAAACATTCTAAGCATCTTCGTCCCCCACAATGCCACGACTCGCATAACCGAGATGTTGGCAGCCGACTTCTTCTTCGAATAATATATATTCGTCTTTGAGATGATATCTTGAATGGTGGCCATTGCCGCTTGGGTATTGAACGAGTCGCACAGAGCGACCCGGAACTCGTGTTGAGCGGTTTGCAGCCTGCACTGTCTTAACGCAACTTTCTATTTGGGTAAAGGAAGACGCACTGTGCCACCAGTTCCTTTTCCTCCTCATGGTATCCGTGACCTCGGTCTCCGGCCGTAAGAGCAACGTTCGACTCGGCGATCAACGCCTTGATGAGGGTGAAAAAGTTCTAAGATAGGATGAGTACGTTCGTTGATTCATGTGATAGGTAACTGACATTGATCGCAGTCTCAACACTGCGCGCCTCCTGAACCAAAGCCTCCTTATAGTCCATCTTTCCATTCCACGGCTGCAATAGGAAGGTCAACCGAAGCTGGCGCGCGGTGTTGACTCGAAGTGCGTCCTAGGCAGCAGTAAGCACTAGTCAGGTAAAGTAGAGCCGCGCCCACATCAATTGTAATGAAATTTTTCAAAGATTTGCTCATCTTCAGACCTTCGATGTGCAAATGACCCGTGTGCAAGAAATAGTTGACCCATTGACGGCAGTCATGATAGGCCTGCATCGATCATCAGTGTAACTCTGTCGATCGAGATCAAACATACCTCAGACTGTGCCATCTCGTTGTCATGGTGTGGAAACGCCAAATCGATTCCGCCAGAGTGAAGATCCATCTGCTCACCCAAGACCTCACTTGCCATCACTGAGCACTCAATGTGCCACCCTGGACGACCCGGCCCCCACGGTGACGGCCACGACGGCTCACCTGGCTTCGAAGCCTTCCACAAAGCAAAGTCGGATGCAGATCGTTTTCCGCTAGTGGACGTGAGAGATCCTTCGCCCTCTTCTAGTAGTTTCTTGTTGTTCTTGCTCCAGGGCTCGAGCTTGGCATACACATGCTCCCAGTCGTCCGGCCTTTGTGTTTTCGCATGGTCAAAAGCGGCGGTGTCGAACCAGACGCTGGAGCCTGCCTCGTATGCCCAACCCCTTTTAACTACACGCTGCACAAAAATGGCGATCTCCTGCACGTAGTCGGTTACTCGTGTCAATGCGTCCGGCGGCATCACCCTGAGTCGGTCCATGTCTTTCAGGAACTGGTCTTCCCAGTGTGCTGCGTGTGCTCGAGGAATTGCAGGATCTGTGACAGATGAACCGTGCTAGAAAAGGTTAGGAACGGTTTCATGGAGCCGCGATGTGCTTACCAGTTTATCAAGGTAGAGAGACAGAACATCTCGAGCTGCCTCGATCAGCTCCGTGGCATTGGACGGCGTAGTGTCGTTCCGTTTGATAACCTTGTCGGCTTGCTCCAACCCTGCGTATGCTGACTGTAGTGCAGCCATGTGCATCGAAACCTTCTCATCCTGCTGGAGTGCTTGAAGAGCCCACGGATCTCTTGCCGTGAACTGCTGGAAAATGTCTGGCCATGCTGTTTCTGCGGGATTTGGTACGGTTGCAAGCTTGCCGGAACGGTATTGCTGCCATGCTTCACGAACTTCTGCGATCAATGACGTTGTTAGAGATGTCGACTTTGCCTTAAGTTGTTCGAGGAGATAATTTTGTCGTGAACGGATGATGATCTACATCGGATAAGCACAGTTGCGCAACGGGCATCACTTGAGCAAACCTTATCATCGATATCGGTGATATTCATCACAAAGAATACATCGTAACCGAAATAGTCACTCAGAATACGGCGAAGGATATCTTGAGTAACGTAGTTTCTTCCAAATATCAGACAATGAATTCACACTCAAAGGCGCCTCAAGAAATACCTAGCATGGCCCATGTGGGATGCTTCGTAGACAGTAGGACCGCAGTTGTACCATTTAACTTGGCGTCCGCGAATAGGGATAAATTCGGTCTAAGCTCCCGCTCGTATAAGATTGCCGCGATAGGATATAGCCCAAGTACCTTTTCGCGCGTCAACGAGTTGTAGATCTTGAGACGCGGCTCCTCCACGATTGGGGTCGGTCTAATCCACTCTGCCTGTCGAACTTTTGTGTCGGCCATGGAGAAGGAGAAAGCACAGCGAGAGAAAAGTGATGTAGGTCTGAGCTTTGAAAGGGATACAGCGCAACGTAGCATGCAAGATATAGCAAGCGCCCACAAAGGTTGAGTCTGTACCGCCGAGGGCGAGTCAGGTACCAAGGGAGCGCGTGAAATGTTCGCAGAGGGATGTACAGCGGAGTCAAACCCTTTTCAGGGTTCGGCTTCCGTCATCGCGGGGAGAAGGAGGTGGCGTTGGGTGTAACACGGGATCAATCTGCCCAATATGCGGCAAGGGATGATTGCGACTGCTTCTTGCGGTTGGATCGTCGCACGGGAAGGGCGTCCACACACTGACGACCCACACTCACCTTCACAGCACCGCCCACTGCCCTTCCTCTCCTTCCAACTCGTTACTTTCACTTGTCGATACTCTTCTCTCAGTTACCACTCTCACCTTCTTTCTTGCTCGGATCCTGGATTTATACTCTCACTTCACTTGATACCACTTCGACTCGTTTGATGCTGCTCTCGCTGGCCTGAGCGCTTCACACACACGGATTTCTGAACGTTCTCGAAACATTCTCATCTGCTTCTTGCCCTGGCTCCCGAAATATGACACACAGTCGACAGCGATCCAGCTCTGTCAACCAGCGAGCTCAGGTGCGTCCTTGCCTTCGCACGTCATATGGAGCTACGTTGAGACACGCGCATATAGCTCGCTAATGCATATCAAGAACTTGGAAGGGAGCTGGGTTCGGAGAAGATACGTGTTGTCGGCAATTATACCCTTGGGAAAGTGATTGGTGAAGGCTCGCACTTCCTTTGTCTTATCGGGTTCTGGTCTCAACTACGTTTGCAGGCACGTATGGAAAGGTTCGACTGGGAACGCACCGAATCACGTCGACGAGGGTTGCAATCAAGCAGATACCAAAAGCGATGTCGGCCCAACTCACACGCGAGATCCACCACCATCGTCAACTCCACCACCCACACGTAACCCAGTTGTACGAAGTCATCGCTACCGAGTCGTCCATCTGGCTCGTGACAGAACTCTGCACGGGAGGTGAACTGTTCGATTATTTGGTCGAGAAGGGCCGCTTGTCCGAAAGGGAAACAAGGATGCTTTTCGGCCAGCTTTGCCTCGCAGTGGAATACATTCACGAAAAGGGGGTGGTACACAGGGACTTGAAGCTTGAAAACGTCCTGTTGGATGAATATTGTCATGTGAAACTTGGTGACTTTGGTTTCACCCGTGAGTATGAAGCCGGACGCCTGCTTGACACGTTCTGTGGTACGACTGGATATGCTTCTCCGGAGATGCTCCTAGGCAATAAGTACTCAGGAAGAGGTGAGTGTTTCATGACCTCAGAATCCATTGCTGACGACATTCGGCAGAGGTCGATATCTGGTCCTTGGGCGTCATTTTATACTCCCTTCTCTGCGGAGGGTTGCCATTCGACGACGACGATGAAATAATCATGCGAAACAGAGTTATTCATGGCGTTTACCCCGAGCCCGACTGGCTTAGCGAAGGTCTATTTCTCGTAATTGCTAATAGGAAGCAGACTAATATAATCCTAGACGCCAGAGACCTAATCCGACATATTCTTGTGAAGAAACCCGAAGCTCGCTATTCTGTGAAACAGATTCTCTCGCATCGTTGGTTCAAAAAACCTTTCCCTGATGAAGATCCTGTGCACGGGCTGTCAGAACTGGACACCAGAGAACTTGTTGCGTCCCCACCTCCCATGGAATCTGCACCGGGATACACGGTGGCGACGACTCCGGCACCCACAGCGGGTGCAGAGGTCATTGCATCGCCGAATTTTTCATCCCCTTCCCACAAGTCGGACGCTTCTGTCCCATCATCACTCTCCGATCATTCCCGGCATTCTACAACCGATCTAGAGAGCGAGCCGACGACCCCAGACGTGACCGACCAAGGGGACGATCACATAGCGGATTCCATGATACCCACAGGGCGTATCCGTATTGGACCTCTCCAACGGATGGGCAGTCAGGCAACAATCAAGAATCCCGCCACGCTGGATCAGACGCCCAAAGGTGCATCGACGCAAGCCAAGCAAAATCTTTCTGTGCTAGAAGAAGAGCCCAGTCTTCCGTCGCCGCTTTTGTCCTCATCAACATTCCACTCTCGTACCCCTGTGAGAACCAAGCGAAGATCTGTTTCTTCGGCTTTCAGTGCTCCACCATCACCTGTGGTCCCTCCTGGCGCGCTTGACGCTCCCGACTTCTTGTCTATGTTGGAATACCCACATCCCGTGGTCTTTACGAGCGCTCTAGAACGCAGATTGTTGAACTCTTTAAGCGAGCTTGGAATCGATACCGGTCAAATGGTCCACAGTGTTCTCACAAACGCATGCGATAGCTCAGCTGCCATTTGGTGGATGCTGAAGCGAAAAGCGGAGCGTAGGGAAGAATCTGCTACCGTGGGTGAAACCACTACCAAGGTTCCGGAAGCGGCCCAGCCTGAGGCGAAAGAAGCAAAAGATAACGGATTGCAGCTCGAAACATCGTCCCAGCTTTCCGTTACTGCACCTAGTGACGAGAGCATCATAATCCCCGCTCATCTTCAACCTGCCCTCGTATCGACCTCAATTTCTGCACCGGAATTGTACCTTCGGGCAGCGACCCCACAAACTCCCCCTCCTGGAACACCGCCTGCAGCAGAACGCAGCCCTGCTCGCAGTTCTCCCGCACCAACTGAGCCCTCAGACAAGAGCAAGAATAAGGATGGACGTGGTCGCTCTGGCTCCATTACCATGTTGCAGCGTGCATCGACCGTACTAGGAGCGGCCGGTCTCGGGCGCAAGAAATCCGGAGATATCATGAGGGATGATGCCCTCAAGCTTACCAAGGCCGTTCTTGACAAAGGGAAGTCACCTGAGCAAATGCCGGTCCCACTACCTCAAATTCCGGTTGCTGATACGGATGCACTGGGCGCGCGCCAGAGTCCCGAGAACTCTCATGCATTTATGGCTCGAGCTCCAGACCTGCTTATCTCATCGACCCCCGTGCCTTCACCTGCTGAAGATGTTCTTGCGCCTTTACCAAATCTAGAATCCGGACGTCGAGGTTTCATGTCAGCGATCAGAACATGGTGGCAAGATGATCGACGAAAGCGAAAAGGCGACTCTATGGGCGATGTGCTGGGGGCTTATCGGGCTGTGCAGAAGCGAAAGCCAACTGGATTGTCTTCCAAGCCTGCTGGAACGCTCACCCCACGGAGGCCGTCGGGTCCCTCTCGCCGATCAAGCAGCGTTCCCTCCAGACGCTCATCCATTGCGTCCATTAATGTCAATAACGACGTGATTGCAGGTGTACTGTCTCCAGACCAATACAGTGCAGTAAATTGGCAGCGCGGCGAACCAAGTCGGCGTTCATTCACTCCGACGAGCGATCGAGGCGATTTTATGAGCTCACGTCCTGCTTCGATCAGATCCATGTCCTATAACACTCCACTCAAGCGGCCTCGTCATGGTCGTCAAGGTTCAAGTAGCTCCATCGGTTCTGCCAGCCGTATGCGCGCCAGTCAATCCCCTTTGCAGCAGTACCATCGACGTGCCGGTTCAGGGTCTTCGATAAAAGTCATTAGGCAGACAAGAACAGTTTCGGTTCCTCCGAACGCTCACAAAAGGTCGGATTCAGCTACGTCTTCTATCCAATCCGTGCGCACCCCATCACGCCCTAGTTCGTTCTACGCGACAAACTCTATGCTCCTTGAAGAACCAGAGCTGGAAGAGCCAAATGAGTCGGAGGACGCAAGCGGAGTGATGGTTTCTCCCGTGGAGCCAGTTCCGTTATCTGCCGTCACAAGCGCATGTTCAATTGAGCACGAGAGGCGTGCCACTTACACCGTTCTGGTTGCACATAAAGCTCGCCCGTCGCATGGCCCTCCCTCGGCTACTCCTCTCGCCGCTGCCCATCGGTCCAGTTGGAGAAGCTCCTGGGGGCAGGAACCCCCCGGATGGGCCAACCGTGCGATTGAGGCGCCTGCAAGCCCTCCTGATAAGGGCAGGGTAAAGAAGCCACTTCGCGACGTGTTTGTTGGTAAGTATGGGGGCACGAGCAGTGGTGAGGAAGATGAATGGGTGGATGAAGATGACGATCCGCATTATGCTGGTGGCTTGGGTCAGAAGATGTCCACGGCCTCTCCTCCTGCAGAAATCGTCGACATTTTCCCAGATTCTCCCCTTCCCTTCAGACGACAGTTGCAAACGGATCCCTCCGTATCTCGTCGATCACGTGCAGGTGGAAAAGGCCGTCCAGGCAACGGTCAAGCACGGACGAATACTAGTATTTCACAGGTGGATACCCCTGCCATGAAAGGAGAGGCACATATGGGAGGGATGGCTGCCCGGGGGCGCCGCCAGGCACCTACCAGCCGTATTGGTGCAACGCTCCGAGCGCCAATAGAGGAGGAAGAGGAAGAGGAATAATGTATGACCTGTCCTGCGATACACTTCTTGAAACGGACCCGGTGACTTCTTTCTTTGCCCGCGATGCCCAGACTTTGTCATAAGCTCATCACTATTATTCTTCTATTGTACGCACTGTATAAACGTTAGGAACTCGTTGTTTGTAGCCCTTCTTGCCCATGACAGAATGTAACGTGGTAGCCCATTGGAGAGAATGGTCTAGCAGATGGGACATTTGTACATGTTCATCGGTCACACAAGCCAATCTTTACGTACTCCTTGTGTATGAGTTGACCCTGTCGTGAAGCTCACGAGGGTCAACGTCGTTATCGTGTACAGCGCATTCTTGATGGAATGCTGGCCAGACATCTAAGGCCAACTGAACTGCAGTTGACACGGCTTGGTTGATCGCGACTCACCAAACTACCCCTTGGCCTCGTCCAGTGCCCATATGAGATGGGCGATCCCAGCACATCCGCTCCCAACAGCTAGTCCGACCAGCGCGGCGATACCGAAAAAGACGTAGAATGGGTAGATGACGCTTGAGGCGGCGTAGAGGAGGAGGATTGGGCTCGTGACAGCGTACAAGAGCACTTGCAGTATGGCCACCGCAGGGTATAGGATCGTATAGAGAAAGGAGAAGAGGTATGTGAACGGGAGAAAGGGAATGTGGATGTGCGGCCAGGCAATGCGAATGGGATCGATGATCCAGCCGAGAAGGCTGCGGAAGTTGAAGTTGCGGTTGGAAGGCTCGTTTGTCGTCTCGGGGGGAAGAGCATCGGGAACTTGGTATAGCAGGTAGGCATAGCCGGCTATGGCAATGGCTATAATAGTGCCAAATGCCAATCCTTCAAGACGGACGGCAGTGCTGGGCATGTTGAGGTACTGACCGGACACTCGATATCTGGGCGCATATTTTCAATAAGGGCTCATATATAGGGACGTCATGTGTTGATCACGTGATAAAACGCGTCCTGCTTCGGTTTGTGCCCGCTGTCACTCGCGCATTCCTCAACGTCCGCCTCAACCATCTTGTCTCTGTCCATACACCTCTGGCGATACCTCTCGAAATTTTTCTAAACGGTCACGATGACATCAAGGCAAAGATCAACATCCCAAACGCGCTCTACCTCTCCAACAAGGCCGAAGTCATCCTTGTTCAGTCGGCCTCCCCCGTTTGTCCCAATGTCTCATACAAGAAAGGCATCGGCATCAAAGGCACCATCTACTACGCGTTCAGAGACACCCTCCGAACGACCGGTATCGCCCTCTAAGATAACAGCAGCCATAACCGCAGGAGTGAAGCTTGCTAAGAAGAATCCCGCTTTCCGCCGCGCTATGGCACCCCAAACACCACAAGTCTCCAGGCCCACTACGCCCAGCTCACCTTTGCGACATGATTCACCTGCCGCTTTGCTATTCACACCCGAGAAAGTCACAACAGTAACTTCCCATGATGTCGATATCTCTGCCGATTTGGACGATGCGCCGATGCTTGACAGTGAGGACAAGGTCCTCGTCAGTGTGCGAGTTCGTCCAAACAAGGCTGGAGATGGCGACGATATCGCTTGGAAAGTCAATGAGAAGGACGACAGTGTGCAACTCCGATCTGAATTTGCACGCGCTGGGGGAGCTGGCACGACAGAATACCATTTTGGTATGTTCCACAAGACACAACAATGTTCACGGTCTCCTTACCACCTGTCACAGACAACATAGTAATCGGATCGGACAACAAATCTGTGTATAACGTGACAGCGAAAGCACATGTCCGGTACGTTTTCATCCTGAAACTGAATAAACTGGCTTTCTGACTGGAGTGTAGCGCTGCTATGGAGGGGTTCAACTCAGTTATTTTCGCTTACGGTACGTCAGACTACACCAATTTGGGTCCATCCTTTTAATCGCCTTGCAGGACAAACTGCATCCGGAAAGACGTTCACCTTGGTAAGATAATCGGAAAGTCTCTTAATATCATCCTCATCTCTCGCAGACCGGAGACGAGGAGCAACCTGGCATTATTCCTCGGGCTATGAAGGACGTATTCTCATATATTCGCAAGGTAACGTAGAGCAAAATCTGCGGCATGTGTGACTGATATCCAGTGCAGCATCCCAAACGCGAATTCTTACTTCGTGCATCATATTTGGAGATCTACAACGAGACTATCCACGATCTCCTCTCCCCCGTTCCAACTCCGGTTCAGCTCAAGGGCACCACGCTTGTTCCCTTACGCGAGGAGGTTTTTACGTCCCCTCAAGGTGTAAAAGAAATTCTCGATAGAGGCGACGGAAATCGACGGACTGCCAGCACGGATTGGAATGAAAGGAGCTCACGTAGTCACAGCATTTTTCGATTGGTGTGTATCGCACCTAATGTTATGGCTTTTTGCTGAACGTTCCACAGGTCGTCGAGTCCCGAGAATTAGCGAGCGACGCCTCGACGCCCAATCCCGGCGTGCCTCCCCCTACGCCGGGAGGTAGCCGTCTATACGATGGCGGAAAGCCAGTTCAGATGAGTGTTCTCGTGAGTGCTGCATTTTCTTTGGGTGTACTTCGTTGGAAGGATGATGGGTTGTTTGCCAGAACCTGATCGATCTTGCGGGAAGCGAGAAGGCAACCAGTGACAAGGAGCGTACCAGGGAAGGACGTTACATTAATACAAGGCACGGCTCATGAATTTCATCTGTCCAGACACTAATGCTGCATGACAGCTTGTTGACGCTCGGTCATGTTATCCAAATTTTGGGAGAGAATGCTGCAAAGGAGAAAAGGTTGGCATATATCTCGGGTATTTGCACAGCGGGCTAACGTAATATTACAGCGACCACGTCCCGTATCGCAGCTCTAAACTGTACGTTTTTCATCGTAACGCAATCCGTGGCTTGACTCCCCTGCAGAACCCACATGCTCCAACCATGTCTGTCGGGGGATGCAAGGATTTCGGTTATATGCACAATCAACGCATCACCCTCAGCCATCACTGAGACGCAGTCTACTCTGGGATTTGCGTCTCGCATTAAGAAGGTTCATTTGAACGCAGAAAAGAAAGAACTCATCGACACTGAAGCCTTGATCGAGGTAATGCGCCAGCAGAAGTGGAATGACTATTACTAAGTCAACCATAGCGGTATAAAGCAGAGATTCGAGCACTGAAGAACCAGCTTGAAGAGCGTGAACGAGAAGCTCCCTCAAGACATCGTCGTCTTAGCCTTCGCGACGTGTGTTTCGCTGATCTCTGGCCTACATAAGATTCTGACCATCTTCGTAGCAGAAGGACGACTCGAAGGCTATGACCGATATTAGCAAGCGAATCAAGCAGCTGAGAGGCCTGATCCTCACTAGCAACACGGTCGACGACGGATCATCGGGTGTATGTTCTTATTTCAATTGCAACACGGTCATTCTGACATGTAGCAGCCTCGGCCCGTCAGCCCATCCAAGGTGGACTTTGACCTCGCTCCTCACCAGGTAAGTCATACACTTCAATCGTTAACTTGCTCCAACTTCCATCCTAGCTTCGCGAAGAGTTGTTCCAGGCAAAACGCAAACTCGAGCTGCAGAACATGCAGATCCTGTCGTTGGAGACAGCCCTTGAACAAAGACCTTTAATCTCTACCGATGCTCCAGAATCGGATAAAGACAGACTTATTGCCGAATTGCAGCAGGAAGTCAGGGATCTGTCGGTCGAGGTTCGTGGACATGAACGAAGTTCTGGAGACGGTGCCGAGAGAGCAGACGTTCAAAATGAGAGGGAATGGACGGAACGGCTCAGAAGCATGGAAGCCTCGCTGGCAGAGAAAGATGCTTATGCGACCGAATGCGCAAAAGCGTTAGAAACAGAGAAACAGGTAATTGCCGAAGCTCCCGAATACCTGCCACTTTTCCTTACTCTGTTCAGGCAAGGGCGCGACTCGAGGAGGCAAACAAGGCAATGCATGCCTTCATCAGAGATATCGACTTGTACATCACCGGGAAGAGCATGGAATCGCGCATCGCTAAACCTCGTGTATCGGGTGCCGGTGCCCTGGGGGCATTGGATACCAACAAGACAGGCGACCTACGCCATTCCTTGATTGAGCAGGACTCGGACAAGAAAGGCTCTGCACTCTTGAAGCGCATTCGTGGCCAGCCGAGTCTGCTGGAACATATGCCAGAAGAACTGGAGATGCTGATGAATCAGGACGACGACTTCGAGGTTGTACCTCAAATGAAGGCAAGTGTGACGGGCGCCAAAGTCAGCAGGGAGAACAAAGAGAATATGATTGGTTGACTGTAGGGGAGGATATTGGACATGTACCATAACATCATTCGATTATCATTCATTCCGTGATTCTGTATGAACCCATGGGGGAAACTTGAAGGGTCGATTGTTACTTACTTAAGGGTAGGTGGCTGTGAAAAGGCATGCTTTGGGAGGCCATCCAGGTTTTGGGGCACGTCTGGACTCTGGACTCTGGATACAGATGTCAGGGTCCTAAGCTTAGTAATTTAATCCCACTCTGCGTCAAGCAGGCAGGGCAGGGTGCATTGCTCAGCAATTCAATAGCTGGTGCTGCCTAACACCAAATGCATAAGTCCGATAGATACAATTAGTTAGTGCTCTATCTAGACATTGTGTAATTATTAATTGATACTACTACACAAAAAACAAGAAAAACAAAGGACTTGGAGGACATCACCTCCAAGCCCATCTATTGTATTTCTACACAGTCAATTCACCAATGACTACAGTTCATGGCCCTTCTCTTACTCTCCCTCTTCATCTGACTCCACCCACCAAGCCTGCTTGTCCATCTCCACCTTGCCATCCTTCAGACATCCATCATTCTTCCTCTGGGCATGCAGCCAGAACCTTGCCCATGTACTCCCTGGCCATTCACTGAACCTTTTGATGAGCTTCTTCAGGCTGTGTTAGGGCAACACAGGCTGACTAAGTCTGCTCACCTAAGAGTGCCAAGAGTCTAAGCAGGCAACAAGGAAGTGGAGTAGACCTGATGACTAAGACCTATCTACAGTATAGGTATCTGTGGATGATCCTAA